CCCAACCCCAATGGGCCAGATCCCGGACCCAGGGCCACCTGGCCAGGCAAGATCATTCCCCCCAGAACCCTCGTGCTCTGAGCCCAGTCCCCTCAGCTGCACACGCAACCCAGACCCACTCACTATGCTTCCCTGCTCCTCCCACCCCCCCCCCCCTTGCCCAGCGGGGGACCCCCAGGATGCAGCTGCCCCAGGGCTGGACCCTCACTTGGAGTCAGATCCCATGAGGCCCTAATCCACCCCTGCAAGCCTCTGGCTGTGTGGCCCTGGACAAATCACTTGTTCTCTCTGGGCCTCTTTGTCATCTGTGAAATGTGACATGGAATGATCCCAGAGAACTTCTGACCCAGTGACAATAAGACAAGACAGTAGGATGTAGCCAAAACCTAAATAGGGGCCTTGGATCCATGGGAGGGGCCTCCCTGAGGGTTCAGGCTGCCCTTGTGTTGGGGGCACGGGGTCTCCATTCCCTGGGATCTGATGTGGCTGGGGCCTGCGGTGAATCTCCACCGACTGCAGGCGGTCATCGCTGGGCCCACCATCCCAGGAGGGACTGCTCCCGCTCAGGGCCAGCTCCAGGTCCCGCCATGGGGGGACCCGCTGCCAGGCCCTGCTGCTCCTGGAAGGTGAGGGCAATGGCTGGGTCGTCCCGGCCTTGCTCCAGGGACAGCTGAATGTCCCTGCAAATCCTGGGACCACCTTAGTTACTCTTTTCTTGATGTCATCAGTCTTGAAGGGGACCAAGCAGGTGGGACAAACTTAAGGATGACCAAGCTGGCAGCACTGACTTTCGGACAGACATTGCTTACGGGGCTATTGTGCCCAGCTGTCAAAGGCCTCTCGAGGGTGTCTGTCCTTTTGTCCCTGTGGCGGACCTGATGGTCTCAAGGAGGAGGCCTGGTCAAGATGAACTAAAGCAAAATGTGGACAAGAGGTGCTAGAGCCAAGCAGCCCACAGCAGTGGCCACACCTGTAGTCCTCGTGCCTCGGGAGGCTGAGGCAGGAGGATCTTAAGTTCAAGGCCAGACTGGGTAACTTAGCAAATCCCTGTCTCAAAATAAAACTTAAAAAAGAGGTTGGGATGGAGCTCAGTGTAGTGTCCTGGGTTTGTCCCCAGCACAGCACATGGCGAAACATCCTGCCTCCAGGGTCCCCCCAGGGGGCATCAGGCACAGTGGCACTGCCACATAGCTGTCCCCACTGCCCACCTCCAGGGCTTCCTCGTCTCCCCAGGCTGAGGCTCTGCCCCTCCAACACCAGCTCTGTCCCCTCCTGCCCTGCACCCATCTAGCTGCTTCCCCAAGTCATCTCGGTGGCTCTGACACTCCAGGGACCTCCTGGGGTGGAGGCTGCAGGGTCCCTCTGTGTCTGGTGCATGTCACTCAGCATGATGTTTCCAAGCTTCATCCACCGTGTCCGGTGTCAGAATTCCTTTCCTTTTCAAGGCTGAGGAGCCCAGCGAGGGCGGAGCTGAGTGTGGGTCCACCCCCCAGCGGCAGGCAGAGGCCGCCCTCCTGTGGCTCCCTCTGGCTCCAGGGCCCAGTGCTGCTATTAACACCGCACACAGTAGGTAGGTACCCGGGTCCTGCCTTTGACTTCCGTGGGCACCACCCAGCAGTGGGTGGTGGTGACTCTGCCCAGCTTTGGAGGACTGGCCATTGTCCTAGTGTGGCCACACCGTTCTGCCGCTCAGCTGCAGTGCAAGGGCTCCCCTCTCTCTGCATCCTTAGGGCACTTTTTAGATCCCCTGCCTCATTTGAGGACCCGAAGGCTTTTTATTCTCACGTCACATGGGTGGGGACACTGAGGCTCAGAGACGCAAACTCGGGCAGGCAGGTGATGGCAGAGCTCTGAGGTGAGTGAGCCGTGTCCTGCCCGTGCCAGGTGCCGCCGACCACTGCAGAGAGCACAGCCCACAAAACTGTCCCTGAACCCACCTCAGTCACTCGGTGCCCACAGGCACCCATCCCAGACTTAGTGAAGCCATTTTCTTTGATGTGAGGAGATGCTAGAAACAGCCCCTCTGCTCGGGCACCCCATGAAGTTTGTGGCCTGGGGGCGTAAAGAATCCCCCCCACCAGTGCAACTGCCCTGCAGGGGACACCCAGCAGTGCCAGGGGACATTTTTTGGTTATCACGACCTGGAGGGTCCTGGGGTGCTCCTGGCACGGAGTGCGAGGAAGCCAGGGGTGCTGCTGGCCACTCTAAAATGTCAGGAAGGGTGGCCATAAGCAAGAGTGACCAGGCCCAGAAGTGGAGCTAGGGAGAGGGCAGGCCACGCCAGTGGAGGGGCTGGGGGAGGCTCCGGATGCTAGAGAAGCCCCGGGCACCTCTGGGCTGGAATCCTGGCCCAGCCATGTGCCCGTGTGGCCTCGGGAAGTTGGCTTTCCTCTCTGAGCCTCGGTTTCTGCCTCCCTAATGGGATGTTTATTTTTGCCCCGTGAGGCCCTGTGCCAGGGTCCGCCTGCGCCTCCCCTGTCAGGGTGGCACTCAACAAACGTTAGTTGTGTGGCTACTGGGAGGACGCGGAGTAGTTGCTGCGGCTTCCAGGTCCTAGCTGCACTGGGACCCAGAGATGGGGCAGGAGAGCGGGGAGGAAATGGTGCACTGGGGAGCTGGGAGCCGCTCCAGGGCCCGATTCCCAGGACTCGCAGCTGCGTCCTCCTGGGGGGCCAGCTGGCCCTGTCGCCCCGCCCCGCTGGCAGCCTGGACGCTCATCCTCATTCCCACGGAACAGGCTGCACCTGGGGGCTGCGGGCTCCAGGTGACCGACTTGGAAGGCGCCCTGCCGGGCTGGGACGCGCGTCTGCCCGAACTCCTCCTGCCCAGGTGGGTGGCCGGGTTCCAGAGTGGACGGCGCCGGCGCAGAGCCTCGTGGGGTGCATTTCCTTTGGCTCTCCCCTGGTCAGTGCCTCGGGGTCCCCCGCCCCCTTCTCTCGCTCGCTGCCCTTCCGCCCCTCCCCTGGCTGGCGCCCCCCGGGCCGCCGCGCCCCCGCATCCGGCCCCTCAGAGATTCCGGAGGAATCCCCCAGCGCCTGGCCCCGCCCCGAGCTCCGCCCCCTCCAGTTCCCCGCCGCAGAGACTCGCTTTCATTGGTCCCTTTGTACGTCGCCCGCGCTTCCATTGGTTGAGCCAGGACCAAACTCCCGCCCCGTTCTCTTCCGCGCGGGAGGGAGAGGAACGGGGGCGGAGTTTAGCGGGGGCGTGACAGTGGGCGTGGTCAAGTTGCCCGCCCCGCCCAGTCCCCCAACCTCCGGGGAAGGTCCCGCAGCCGCGGAAAGAGGTCCCGGCCCTACGGAGGCGGTGGACGGATCGTGATCGCACTGTAGCGCCCCGGGGAGCAGGTGAGCAAGCAGTGCCGGGTGGCCCCTCGCCTGGCTGCCCTCTGTCCCCCCCTCCCTCATGTCCCCACCCCCCTCCCTCATGTCCCTGCACCCTACATCTGCCTGTCTGCATTCCTCCCTCAGTTTCCCCCCCCCGCCCGTCTCGGGCACTCTTGGGCCTTATGAGTTAGGGGAAGACAGATTGGATCTGAACTGCCCTCACCTCAGGCGTGGGGACCCGCTCTGGGACCAGTGCCCAACCCCCTGGGGACTTTGATGGACTCTGCCCCTTTAACAGTGCAGGGCAGCAGGTGCTTGGACAGATTCCGGATCTGGAGGGCCTTCCGGGTGGTGGGCAGCGCCGCCAGAGGTGTGCAGGTGGGAATGAGTTGGGTTCTGGCTGGTCCAGGAACCCAGGACAGCCAGGGCCAGGCCCTGCAAGCTCGCCAGTGGCCTGAGGCCTTGGACTCAGTGTTACTAGCAGTGAACTGGGGCTGTCCGCCGCCGAGGTCATTAGCAGGCATCCTGACGTGCGTCTCCGGCCTCCTGGCCTCTTCTGTGGTGGCTCACTGGGCCCATTTCCCATGAGGGTAAACTGAGGCCTGGAAGGAAGCCAGCAAATGGCCAGGAGAAGACCGGCGACAGGGGTGGAGTCTGCTGTCCACCTGATTCTCCTTTCCTCAGCATCTTCCCTGTGGGGAGCAGCCCCAGCCTTAAACAGGCCTCTGTGGTCACTTCAGGAGCTCAGCTGGTGGCCGTAGGGTCTGAGCCGGGCAGCCCAGTGGTTGGGGAGCTCAGGTAGACCCGACTCTGCCGGCCGCGGTGGCACTTGAACAGGTAGCTCATTCTCCAGGTCTTGGTTTCCTCTGTACAGTGACAGGGCTTCGCGAGGATTCAGCGCAGGACCACGCTCCCTCCCGTGGCCACCCCTGGGGCCAGCCTCGCAGACCTGCCTAGCCTCAGGGCCATGGCCCATGCTGCGCCTGCCGCCACCCGGCAGGTTCACAGGCGCCACCTTTCAAACGTAACAAGTTGAGTAAGATGGGCTGGGCCAGAACCTGCCCAGCAGCGGAGGGTGGAGGAGGCGAACCCAGGAACGCGGAGCTGCACCCAGCCCCGGGACACCTGGGCTTGGCCGGAGGCTGCGCGGCCAGTGGCTGTTGAGTGCTGGACCACGCACTGACTGGACAACAGGCAGCGCCCCTAAGCGAAGGGACTAGCCAGGTGGCTGTTGGAGCCACAGTGGCCCTGGGTGGGACGGGTGCCCTGGGCCTGGTTTCTCAGCCGAGGCCTGAGCAGGCTCCCACCCAGTGGGGCCGCTGTTGCCTGCTGCCTGGTTCAGTGTGGGGGGTCCAGGGCCGGGAGAGTGTACCCTGAGGTCAGAACTCCAGGTGTCCTGGAGCGACCCACCCAGAGTCTGGTGCTCCAGAACGGCTCGTGCTGTGGGGTGCAGCCAGGTGCTGGGGGAGGCCTAGGAGCGGGGGTCTTGGTGCAGTCACCAGTGTGCCCACTGCCCCGCACAGGGTCAGCCCGCACTGGACATCCTCCCTGGAACCCCACCAGGGGGCCTAGCTCAGGTGCCTCTGGCGAGGGTGCGAGCCTCAGCTCCCCACGGGTCTCCTTGTCCTTCTGGAGAGGCCTGAGATGATGGGGGGCTGGGAGGGTGGGAGTCCCGTGAGTCCCCGCCAAGGGCCCCTTGAGGGCACCTGCCCCTGAGCTCCCACTCCCAAGGGCCAGGGTGGGCCAGCGGAGCTTGCCAGGCCACCTCTACTCAGCGGTGCCTCCCTTTGTCTGTCTTGGCCCTCAGTCTCTCTGGCTGCCAATGGGGCCCTTGGATGACATCTGTGACATTGTGCCCCTCTGCTTATTTATTCAACCAATGGGTCCTGGCACCTCTGACAAGTCAACCTGGTGCAGGGACCAGGGACCCAGCTGACAGAAGGGGACGTGGTGCCCGCCCGCACTTGGCTCCACTTGGGGTGGGGAAGTGGTTGTGGCTCCTCCAGAAAAATCACTGTGATTTGTTGGAGCTGCATGATGAGGAACAGGCCAGACAAATGGGGACGTTTGTCTGAATGGGAATCTGGGAGGGCTTTCTGAGAAGGTGACACAGGAGCCGAGGCCTCAGTGACATCAAAGAAACCGCCACATGGAGACCTGTGGGGAAGCACTCCAGGCAGAGGTACAGCCTGTGCAAAGGCCCTGGGGCGGGACAAGCCTGGCCTGTTGGAGGCACAGCAAGGAGCTAAGTGGCTGCGGCAGGGGAATGCAAGGTAGAGGGGACTGGGCAGGAGGAGCAGGGCCTTGTGGGCCCAGGGGCCACCTGACTTTGAGCCCTGGGGAGGTGGGAGGTGGAGGGCTGTGGGCAGAGGAGGCAGGGGCCTGACCCGGGGCTCCCGGGCGCCCTCTGGCTGGCGTGGGAGGGAGTTGGGCCAGAGCATAGGGGCCAGGATGGAGGCGTGGAGGGGGAGGGGGTGCCAGCCGGGGCACCTCTGAGGGCGCTTTCCTGTGCGCTGCCCTCAGGCTTCTGTTGCTGTTGAAGACCTTCTGCCCACGCCGAGCCGCAGCCGTCTGTCCCCTGCAGGTTGGCGGTGGGCTGTGGTGTCCCAGTGTCGAATTTTGGCCCCCAGCTTTCTACAGTGGAGAACGTCCCCCAGGACAGCCAGCAGGAGGACCCCACCCGTTCTCGGGGTGGCTCCTGAGGACCTGGAGAACCCAGTTTGAGAACCATTGGTGGCCCCCAGGTGTGGCAGGCCCCTCTGTCACTTGCTGCAGGGCAGGTGGCCCTGCTCCCAAGGCCTGAGGGGTGGATGGCAGGGTAGGCGTGGTGGGCTGAGGCCACCCTGGGACACCGCAGCAGGGCTGGGAGGGAGAGGCGGGGCCGGCTGGCCCTGCTGAGCCGCCATCAATTATTGACATCCTTTGTGTGGGACATGAAGAATTCATGGGACGGGGGTGCCCCGGGGTGGTGACACGTGGCAGCCATTGTACGGGGCCACTGCTGGGTTGGCAGGCACTCTGCCATCTCGTTGTTAAACACGCGGTTGTTAGAAATGACGGAACATGCGCCCCAGGACATAGATCCTGTTAAAATAAAGGGGGCTGGGTGCGGCCCAGGAGCGCAGAGCCCGCCAGCCCCCCAGGAAAGAGGGTAAAGGCAGGGAACAGAGAGGAGTGAGGTGACCCAGCGGGACGTGGGTGGCCCTGAGGACCAGTGAGGGCCCGATGCACAAGGTGTCACCCGGTGAGGGAGACGGACATGACAGAAGAGTGCACAGGTGGCACGGGGACCCCTGGGTGCAGGGCTGGGGGCAGGGGCTGCTCCTGGGGCGGGCTCCTTTTGGGACGATGGAATGTTCTGGCACGAGGTAGAAGCGATGGTCGCACAGCTCGGCCGGCGTGTGAGTCCCACGGAATCGGAGCTCTGGGTGCGGGAGTTCTGAGTGCGGGGACCCTGTTCAATGTGCTGTGACATGAAAGAGCAAGAGGGGTGAGTGTTTAGACAGGGACTTCCCACTACCTCACAGCACGTGGCTGCTCCCTGCTCCGGCGGTTCTCGGTGTTCGGTGGCAGTGACAGGCGTCACCTCCAGCGGTGATCCCTGATACCCAGTTAGCAGGCCGCACTGGGCCGACGAGGGCGACCTACACCGTGGGAATCGGCCGAGGACACACGGCGGGTTCGTTTCACTGTTCTGCTGGGTGTCTAGACCAGGGCTGGCAGGTGTTTTAGAGAGGGCCACACAGTAGATCGTCGTGTGGAGACCACTGTGGGAATGAAGGGGTGTGCCTGAGTGCCAGTGAAACTTCATTGGCTGCCTGGCACAGTGGCGCACACCCGTCATCCCAGTGGCTTGGGAGGCTGAGGCAGGAGGATGGTGAGTTCAAAGCCAGCCTCAGCAATGGTGAGGCCCTAAGCAGCTCAGTGAGACCCGTCTCTAAATAAAATACAAAATAGGGCTGCGGGTGGGGCTTGGTGGTCGAGGGCCCCGAGTTCAATCCCCAGGACCCAAAAAGCCAAAAAACCAAAAAATTTTATTGACAAAACAGGCAGGGGATCACAGTTTGCCACTTTTTAATTTTTTTAAGTAGGTGTGTCACTCACAGCTGCTTTATTTTTTTTTAAGAGAGAGAGAGAATTTTTAATATTTATTTTTCAGTTTTCGGTGGACACACATCTTTATTTTATGTGGTGCTGAGGATCGAACCCAGCGCCCCGCACGCCAGGCGAGCGCTTACCGCTGAGCCACCTCCCCAGCCCTCCTGCCAACTCTTGACGTGCCTGAGGCCAGCCCGGGCAACTGAGCAAGACCTGTCTCAAAATGTGAAGAGGGCTGGGTGTGGCCAGTGCAGAGCACCCTGGGGTCAGACCCAGGGATGGGGAAAAACATCTGCAGGGTCCTCTCTGTGTGAGAAAAACAGGATGTTCTGCATGTGGCGGGCAGGGGCAGGGACCCCGGGCATCCAGCCACGCTCAGAGCAGCCTCTCGGCTCCACCACGTCCAGGCGGCCTGTGCGTGGCTCAGAGATTGAGGACAGTCCTGCAGTGTGGCCCCTGAGGCGGGAGCTGGACTGTCCTGGGATGGGGTTAGCCACACGGGGCCACCGGAACTCACTGTCCCATCAGCGAGGGCCACCAGCCTTTTAGGATGGAAATTTCCCTTTAATGAAACACGTATTGAGCCCCACTGTGCGCCTGGCAACAGGGAAGCCATTTACAAACCTCAGTTTGTGTAATAGTTTCTTTTTCTTTTTTTTTCTGAATTACAGTTTGGGTCAAATTCTGATGTTTGATTCCTTAGATTTACTTATTTATTTATTTTTCTTTTTTGACACCGGGGATCGAACTCGGGGGCACTTCTCCCCTGAGCCACTGCCCAGCCCTGTTTTGTGTTTTGTTTAGAGACAGGGTCTCCCTGAGTTGCTTTCCATCTCGCCATCGCTGAGGCTGGCTTTGAACCGCGGTCCTCCTGCCTCAGCCTCCCGAGCCGGGGGATGACAGGCGTGGCCCACCGTGCCCGGCTCCTGGGATTATTGATCGTTTTATAGAGTGAGTTGTAAAACACAGTAAGGGCACGGACATTAAGTGATCAGCCCAGTGAGACGGGATTCCCAGGCCACAGAACTCGCCACTTCAGCCTCCAGTTCAGGGGTTCACGAGATTGTGCAGCCACCACCTCTGTCGAGTTCCAGAACCTTCCATCACCACAAAAGGCGCCTGCCCCACGAGCTTCCTCCAGCCCTGCACCCACAGGTCCACAACTCGTCTCTGGACCCCCCCCCCCGTCCTGGCATTTTTGTCACTGGGTCACACGCTGTGGCCTTGTGTGTCTGCTGTCACCGAACACAAGGTCCTCAGGTCCATCCATAGTGCACCCTGCTCCTGCTGGTGGCCAGACGGTGCTCGGTGTGCGTGGACCGCGCCGGGTGAGTCCCTTCATGGGGGTTGGTTTGGTGCTGGGCGCCGGCCCCCGCTCTGCCCTCCTGGTCTCACCTTACGGTGGCCGGGACTGGGACGTTGGGAAGGCAGGGACAGGGTCTCTTTTGGTGCTTGCCGTGTTCCTGGTGCCTTGTACACAGTTGGTGCTCCCTAAAGGCTTTTTGAGCCACTGAGTGGGTGGTGAGCCAAGTTCCTGAAGCTGCAGCGCGCTGCCTTGGCTCACAATGACATGGGACAGTGGTTGGTGAGCAGGGACCAGGGACGCTGGTGCTGGGGAGAGGCCCCAGGGGAGGCTCTGCCTGCGGCTGGTGGCCCCCTGCCTCCTGCAGGAAGGAAGGCCTGGGTTATTTTGGTCCATAGCCCTGTCCCCTGGGAGAGTGGCCACTTGCCTGTCTGGTGGTGGGGGACTCTCTAGAACAATGGGTCAGGGAGGAGGAGGGGAGGCCGCGCAGCCGGCTGCCCCAGGTGTCCTAGGTCCAGGGCTGGCCCAGCGGGCCGGGAGGGGAGGCCGCAGCTGCTCTGTCCTCGGCCCCTCTCCCCGTGGGGGGTGCTTCTGGGACTGGCCCCTCCTGACGCCTGCCCACGGCCCAGCTCCCCTCGAACCAACTTCAGACTTGCAGGTGGGCCGTCGAGGCCCAGAGAAGGGCGGGGCTCCACCCAGGGGCGCACAGCCTCTGAGGTGGGCAGGAGGACGGGGGCTCCTGGGCTCCTGGGCCTCCTTCCTGGAGGCAGAGGAAGGCCCCGTGCCCTCACCTGTCCCTGCAGCCCAGGTTCCGGTCCCGGTGTTTGCTGGCTTCCTGTCCCCCGCGCTGTTCCCGGCAGGGAACACAGAACCAAGGCACTGGGGCTTCGACGACAGGTGCCCAGGGCACCGGGGACAGTGACTTCGCTGGCTGCTGGGGGAGGGGAGTTCCAGGTGGAGGGAGCGGAATGTTCTAGAGAAGACGGCAGGAGGAGGGGCAGGCCTTCAGGCCAGGTGGCCAGCTGAAGCCCCGGCTGCTCTCTCGAGAGCAGCCTGTGCCCAGAGGCCCAAGCGCTGGGATCTCGCCCCGGGGACGCTGCCTTGACCAGCCTCTGCCCAGGACAAAGCTGGTTCCAGTTGTCTGCATCTTGGGGACGGGGACTGAGACTCAGGGAGTTGTGCCGCGTGCCCCGGAGGCCAGGGGGAGCAGGCCTTCAGTGGCAGGGGACACTCCTGACCTCCAAGCCTCGGGACCCTTTGTGGGCATCAGGGAATGCAGGGGGCTGGGTTCCGAGGGTCTGAGGCAGCCGGTGGCGTCTCGCTGTGTGGTCCTGGGTGGGCAGCTCAGCCTCTCTGAGCCTGTCCCTTTTCTGCAGGATGGGCCACCAACCCAGCAGCTGGTAGGAATAGTGGCACGGTGCATGTGGCTGCCACGTGGCACTGGGTCAAGGGCACTGGCCTGTGGAGAGCAGGGTCCAGTGACAGGCGGGGGCAGGGAAGGCCTGCCCTGACCTCTGAGGGCGGCTGCGGCCGGGCCGCCTCCTGGGGCCTGAGCTGGCACAAAGAAAGGCTTTGGGGGCTTCCAGGGGGTGGGGCTGCCTGGCATCCTGGCCTGGCTGGCCCTGGGGTGGTGCAGGAGGGGACCAGGGCCCTGGGGGTGGGTCACACACTGCCCCTCCTCCTGGCTCTTCAGGCAGAAGGTTCTGGAGTCTCTAAGGACACAGTGGAGAAGGGGACCCGTGGGCGCCACTGCTCAGAGGAGGGCCTCACCCTCCTGGGGCTCAGGACGGCTTCCTGGGGTGGTCTCCAGGGAGGGCAGGGTCTGGGCCTGGGCCTGGGCCTTGGGAGGTACTCAGGGTCACCCAGGGAGGCGGCAGCCCTGGGCCTGCGGAGCTGCCCGCTGGTCTCCAGCAGAAGGGCCAGGCCAGCCCTGCAGCTGGGCAGTCAGGGGGAGCCCCAGGGCCGCTGGCACGAAGGACCGGACAGAGACCCTGCTCCCCAGAGCTGGCCCGCCGCACCTGGCCCTTGCCTGGGCCCTGGCGGGCAGCAGCGGGAAGTGGGAGCAGCGCAGAGCCCACTGCCCGGGGGCTGCCCGCAGCCTGTTCTGACCCTGCAGCCTCCGAGCTCTCTGTCCAGCTGTCCGTCTGTCTGTCTTGGCCCTGCAGGGAGGGGGCTGGGGCAAGGGGGCTGCTCACCAGGTCCCTCTCATCGAGCTGCGGGAGGGGACTGGGGAGTGGGGGGCGGGACAGGGGCCAGGATCCCGCTGCCACTCGCCCTGAGCCCCTCAGCTCACGGCCGGGCGCAGGGGCTTTGGGGAGCTGCCGCGGGCGCTGTGGATGGCACAGTTGGAAGGCCTTCCCGGTCCACCATTCCGCAGTCCTTCCTTTGACTCCAACACTCTAACTCTTTTTAAGGAGACAGATGCCCCTGTGCCCCTCAGGGTCTGCTGGGGCTGACTGTCCACAGCCCTCCCCGCCCAGGCGTCCACAGACGGGAAGGGCAGCGGGCACTCGAGGCGGGGCGGCTGACGCGTGGTCTGTCTGCCCCAGCAGGGCCCATGGACACCTTCAGCACCAAGAGTCTGGCCCTGCAGGCCCAGAAGAAGGTCCTGAGCAAGATGGCGTCCAAGGCCACGGTGGCCGTGCTCCTGGACGACACCAGCAGCCAGGTGCTGGACGAGCTGTACCGGGCCACCAAGGAGTTCACGCGCAGCCGCAAGGAGGCGCAGAAGGTGGTGAAGAACCTGGTCAAGGTGGTCGTGAAGCTGGGCGTGCTGCTGCGCGCCGGGCAGCTGGGCAGCCGCGAGCTGGAGCTACTGGGGCGCTTCCGCCAGAGGGCCCGCGGCCTGGCCCTGACCGCGCTCAGCTTCCACCAGGTGGCCTTCACCTTCGACCGGCGCGTGCTGGTGGCTGGGCTGCAGGAGTGCCGTGACCTGCTGCACCAGGCCGCCGGCCCGCACCTGACCGCCAAGTCCCACGGCCGCATCAACCACGTCTTCAGCCACGTGGCCAACTGCGACTTCCTGGCCGCGCTCTACGGCCCGGCTGAGCCCTACCGCTCCCACCTCCGCGGGATCTGCGAGGGCCTCGGCAGGCTGCTGGACGAGGACAGCATCTGACCCCCGGGCGGCGTCCGAGACTCGGCTGGACGCTGTCCCTCCAGCCAAACCCGCCGGGCCACCCGTCCCAGCTCCTGCAGCAGCAGCTCCGAGGACCCGTGGCGCCCTCCTCCCCACCCTGTGTGATAGGCAGGCGCCCATCAGGCCCAGGTGCTTCCCGCCCAGAGCCACTGCCTGCTCAGGCCACCTGTGGTCCTCCCCGTTCCATGTCCTGGGCTGACCGCAGGCCACCGGCCTGCTCCCCTCAAACCACTGCATGGGTTTCCAAAGCAGGGCTTCCCGGTCCTGGTGCTGGACACCAGTCACCCAAGCAGGTCACTGAAGGAAAGAGTGCAACGGGTCAAACTGTCCCCCAGTCCACGTTCCCCCTGGCCCTGGGAGGGGCCGCCTCTGGAAGGGGTGTCCCTGTCAGCGCTGTCCCCATATGGGGAACGTGGGCCCAGACGCACAAGCGAGGACGTCAGGTGACCGTGGAGGCAGAGCAAGGTGACATTTCAACAAAACAAGGTGCTGAGGACCGCTGGCCAACTCCGGAGGCCAGGACAAAGCGCAACCCCGACTCGGGGTGGGGCAAAGCCATCTGAGCGTGTCCTTTAATCATAATTTCATGATGGAAATCAACATTTTCTTTCCGGGACTGCAGGGCTGGGTGCGGCCGGGACAGCACGGCCACACGCAGCAGGCCCAGGTCCGTGGTCAGCAGAGGCCTGGCCTGGCCGTGCACAGGTGGGGTGGAGACATCTGCGCGTGCCCGCTGGGAGGCCAGGCTGTCTCCACCAGCTGTCGGGTGCCTGGGATGGGCAAGCCTGGCATTGAGGGTGAAGGTGGCAACAGATGCCTGTGCCCCCCCAGGCCGGGTGGGCGGGGCGGGGCTACCTGGCACCTGGGGAGTCCGTGCCAGCTGCCACCACGGAAGCAGGAGCCGCACAGGGCTCCAGAGCCTCGTCCGGGCACCGTGCCACCTGCGGAGCCCTGCAGGGGACACCTGCTCCTCCAGACCCTGGCTCTCCTGCTGCCCACTGCCGCGGTCAGAGCCAAGTTCAGGGTGGCCCTCGGGGCATGGCTTCCGCTCCCCCACCCAGAGCTTTTGCTGAGAGCAGCTCCTGCCTCTGCCTGCCGAGGGGACCCTCTAACACCAGGGCAGGGGCCCACCCTGGTGTCCCCAAGAAGCCCCAGGCTGAGCCGGAGAGGCCATGGCGGGCTGCCCCGCTGCCTGTCCACTCCTCCAGGAACCCGAGACTTAGTTCAAGCCCTGGAGAGCGCAGAGCGCCTGTGCGTGACGTGGACCAGGACATGCTCCTGGCGCCATCAGCTCCTGTGCCGCTGCGCTTCTCTCCAGCTGAGGTTGGTGTGAAGGCCATGTCTGTGGCCCTGGGTGACGAGTTCCATTTCTGCCCCACTGGTCACATGCACGGCTGCAGGGCACGACGGGCCGCGACTTGGGATTCACCTCAGCTCCACTCAGACGCGCGGCCAGTCTGATTTAGAGGCTGTGGCTGTCCCTGCACAGGGCACCCCCGGTCCTGTGTCCTAGGGGTGGCCATCAGCTCTCAACTGTCCTGCACAGGCTGCGGCAGCCCCTGCCCCCAGCGTGGAGGGTCACCCCCCAGAGGCCCCTGGGAGGGACCCTTTAGCACCGCCCTCTGGAGGCCGCTCCTGGGGTCCAGGGACCTCCTCTCAGGAGACCTACAGGTCTAGGGCCACCTTGCTCTGCGTCTTCCAGGTGTGGGCAGGTGCCCCACATGCTCGGGCGCTGCACAGGGGGACAGCAGTGTCACCTCCAGGGCTGGCCCAAGGGAGCGGGAGCAGGCCTCAGCGGTCTCCTCTGCCAGCAGCAGGGGCCAGAGGTCAGGCCTGGGCCGAGGCCCTGTGCTGGGAGCGCAGTGGCCAAGGGGCGTGGCCAGGGAGGGGCCGCCGCTCTCCTTTGCTGTGACCCAACTTCCAAGAGCCAACCAGCCCTGCACCAGGGCTGGGCGAGGGGCCAGCGTCCTGCCGTCCACCTGCAGTGGCGAGGCCAGAGCTTCATCCCAGGGAGTCCACTCTGGAGATGCCATGACCAGGCGGGCCTCGTCCGGCAGGGAGGACCGTAGGTGCCAGGGGCTGTCCACAGCTGCTTTTTATTGGTTTTATTTATTTAAATACAAAAGAACAGTCTGTCCCTCCCCGGCTGTCGGGAGGGTGGTCCTGGAGCCGGGTGCTCGGGGGGTTCAGAGGGAGCACGTGGCTCCCGTGCCTGGCGGGGCCCCACAGGGACGCAGGCTGGCCTCAGAAGAGCCCTCTGGTTATGGGGACCAGCCGTTCTGGCCCTGGGGGCCAGTGTGTGGTGGAGGTGGGACTCTGTGCCAGCTGCGGGGTCCCCAGGACACGGGGGGGACCAGAGCTCCTGCAGAGCCAGCACCGGGCCGGGCCCCGGCTCCTCCAGCGGGAGAGACCCGGCGCCTGGTGGGCAGTCACAGCTCACTGTGGGCGGCCTTGGCCACGATCACCAGCTTGGACAGCTCAGCCTTGAAGGCCCCGGGCCTGTGGGACACTGCAAGAGACAAGAGCGTCGTCAGACGGCCACAATGCCACCCGAGGCCCAGGAACCTGGGGCGCTGTGGGGGGCAGGGGAGGCGCATCTGGCAGTGGCCCCACATGGCAGGCTCCGGGTGGGACCAGGTGCAGAAGGCCAGCCTGGGGAGAGCCAGGCATGAGCAGGTACGGGTGGCCGAGCCGCCAGCTCCTGCCATCTGTGGCCCATGATCATCTTCCAACACCGCAGGACGCTGGCCTCTCCCCTTGTCAGTGAGTGCGACGGCTGAGGGGGACCCTCTGTCCCTCCCCTGGCTCAGCACCTGCCCTGCACAGCCGAACATGGCTCGAGGACACTGATGGGGCTCAGACCACCCGGAGGACCCCATGCTGCCCGGCGCCCCCGGCTCCCCTGGGCTATGCTGCTGCCCTCAGCCTCCAGGCCACAGGCACCTCGGGTGCCCAGCCCTGTTTCCCATGGAGCTCGCCCTGGGCGCCCAGCGGCAGTGACTTTCCACACTCGTGTGCGGCAGGCACCGCGGAGCTGGGCTGCGGCCTGAGCGGACACAGCCTGTGCACCGAGCGCGGTTAACGTTTTTAAATTGCTTTAAAAAAAATAAAAAGGGATTTCTTTTGTTCCAAGTTTTGAGACGGGGTCTCACTGTGCTGCCCAGGCTGGCCCCACACTCCCAGGCGATCCTCCTGCCTCAGCCTCCCGGGAAGCGGGGACCACAGGAGCTGCACGATGCGCAGCAGGAACAGCAGGTGTGGTCGGAGAAGCCACCTCAAGTCCACCTGTCCCTGTGGTCCAGCCTCACGGGCACGTGGCCAACCCACTTGCTGCCACTAGGAGTGTGTCCCTGGGGCTGAGACGAAGTGGGCCCTTCAAGAGGTGTGGGGCTGGGTGTGGCTCAGGGCTAGGCACCTGGCGGCACGCGAGGCCCCGGGTCCCTTTCCGGCACAGGTAGGTCACGCCTCTGAGGATGGGGACCCAGCCCGCCCTGGCTTCGTACCTGGCCCTGCCACTCTCCCTCGTCAGAGCCAAGGCAGCGCCAGCCCTTGGCCTCCAGATCAGCCAAGTGACTCTCTCTTCCTTATGGAGCAGCTGCTCAGGTACTGTGACAGCGACACGGTGGCACTGACCCTGTGGGCCCAGCGTGGGGGAAGCTTCTGTGCTGCGACAGTGTCCCCAAGGCTTGGTGACTCACCCCGCCCCTCAGGCCCCCTCTCTAGTCACCCACCTGCTGTTTTGGTGACTTCAAATTCCTCGGTTTTCAGAGGAACGTCGCTTTCTCTTTCAAACGCAGCTTTTGACTGGAAAGGAACAGGGAGACGTTACTAGAAGCCACAAGAGCAGCAGCAGGACGGGCAGTGCCCCCCAGCAGGCAAGGGCCCCCCAGGGGCAGCCGCGGACGTGACACCTCGCCTGACACAAGCCCCCAGTATTGGACACAGCGTAACTTTCATAATTTAAAAAATAATTTACGGAAATGATTCTAGCATCATAATCTCTTAAATGTAATTTTAGAAAATCATAACTGGTGGGCACACTTGCTGGTGGCCATGCCTGTCACCCCAGCGACTGGGGAGGCAAGTCCAAGGCAGCCTCGGCAACTCAGACCCTAAGAACTCTCTGAGACCCTGTCTCTAAGTAAACAACAGTGGCCGGGGCTCAGTGGGAGAGCGCTTGCCTAGCTAGCCTGTGCGAAGCTCTGGGTTCGGTCCTCAGCACCACATAAAAATAAATTAAATAAAGGTTTAAATAACCAACAGAGAGGCGGGCGGGGTGGGGCGGTGGCCCAGTGGTAGCGCACTGGCCTGCATGTGGGAGGCACTGGGTTTGATTCTCAGCACCACATACAAATAAAAATAAAGTTCTATCAACAACTAAAACACATACATTAAAAATAATGAATAGGTAAATCATCTGGGAGGTGGCTCGCGGGGGAGCGCCCTGGGCTCTCTCCTGGAGGAGCGCTTAGCACACCAGGCCCCCGGTTCCGTTCCCAGGGCTGAAAAAAATTTTAAAGTTAAAAAATCAAAAACATTTCTTTCAAGTCAGCCAAAAGGGAGGCGTGGGCAGCAGGTCACTTGGAAGGGTCACCCTGCAGGGCATATGCTGTGGTGAGGTCTGTCACGCTGACCTAGAGGGCAGGAGACTCCTGGATCACTGCCAGAACCGGGTGACCAAGGAGGGCCCCAGTGCCCCTGCTGCCCGCCAGGCCTCGGGCACCAGCACCTCCTTGTGGCGCCCCGTGTCCCAGGGGGACGGGCAGATATGAGGAGTTTCCAAACTGTTTCTGACCCAGACTCAAGTGGGGCTCTGGTGGGACCGCAGGGTGTCCACGTGGGGCTGCAGGGGCTCTGAGGCTCTGCGGCCCCGGGGAGCAGCACGGGGTGCCCCAGGCCACTCTGCGGCGCACTCACGTAGGCCATGGCGTACTCGATCTCTGCGCCCCGCACTTCAGCCTGGAACTGCGTGAAGTAGAGGTAGGACTTCCCCTGGGGCCTGCGGAGAAGCGGGGAGGTCAGACCAGCCCGGGGTCACCCGAGCCCTACAGAGAGCCCGCCAGGACCTGTGCTGGGCTAGGCCTGCCGTGGGCGGTGGTCAGCTGGTTTGGAGCCTGTACAGGGACACTGTTTCCCGGAGTTGCCGACCCCAGGAAGGAAGGGCAGCGTCCGTCCAAACCAGGCCTCCTTCCTCTGCCGAACACGCCGGCCGCTCATTTAGAAGGCCGCTCACCCCTGGCCGTGAGCCCTCGGGGGCCTGGGACCCGCGTGGTCATCGGCTGCACGTTCTTGGAGTCCACGCCCTTATTTCAGTGGGGGGCTGTGCGGGGAGGGCGGGGCGCGGCCAGACTCTGCAGCGGGGAGCTGCTGCCTGGGTCACAGGAGATTCAATTGGGGGCACTGGAGGAGCGGCGAGGTGGAAGCAGAGGGGTCACCAGGGGACGGCGGGAGCGGGGAGAGGTGCCCGAGGCCAAGGGGGACGAGGTCCTGGGTGCCGGGCTCCATGCAGCTGCGGGAGTGGACCGTGAGAGGGCCCGGGCACCCGAGGATCTCCTGGGTGACTTCCTCAGTGGCCACTGCCGGACCCTGGGCGGAGGGTCAAGGTGTGACCGCTCAGGCCTGACCACAGCTGGCAGGCAGCAGCCCCACTGCTGGAGGAGCCTGGGGGTCAGAAAGGAGGACACAGGCGCAGTCGAGCACCCCTGGCCCAACCACCGTGGGCCTGCAGAGCTGCGTCCAGAGAGGCCGGGCTCGGGAATCATGAAGCAGAGGGTCACCACCAAGGGATCTCCCTGCGCCTGGCCCTGCATCTGCAGCGCCCCTGGAGGCTGCACCACCAGGTCTCGGCGGGCTGGCGATGGCCCTGGGGTCTGTCTCCCCCGGATGCCCCGTGAACACTAGAACCGCAGGCCAGCGGCCCCGTCAGATGGCACAGCCTGTCCTCCATTAAATAGCCTTCGGCGGCCGCCTGCTCTGTGGGCCTGCCTGAGCAAGGTGCCCGGGGAGAAGGGCAGGGACCCAGCGCTGAGGCCCCCAGGCCAACCCTGCCTCCCTCCCCTTGTCCCACCACGTCTAGGGTCGCGAGGAAGTCAGAAAGGCAAGGTCGCAGGGACACAGCCAGAGCGGGAAGGGCGGGCAGCGCTGTAGGGATGTGGGGCAGGGCTGTCTGATTCCAGAGGCCTGTGGCCTGCGGATGGTCAGGAACCAGAGGCAGGGTCCGGCTCAGACAGCTGCCTGGGGGACACAGCAGGGCAGGTCCAGGAGGAGCTGACCACAGGCCCTGCTGGTGCCTCTCTGCACAGGCAATGGCTTCCCACGGCCTCGGGCCCCCCATGCCAAAGCCCCGCGTCTCCCCCAGGCCCAGCTCACTCGGCCCGGCTCCTCCCAGGCCCAGAGCCCACCCTGCCAAGTGCCACACAGGTGCCTCCCCAGTCCTCCTCCCATCCCCCCTCGGCCCAGCCCTGCCTCTCTGCCCAACAGCCTGCTGGCCTTGAGACCTCCCTGCCTCCTTCTGCTGGACAGGCCAGGGTCCTGCCAGAGCCCTTGGAGAGGACGGAGGCTGTGACACACGCTGCAGCCGCGGCAGAGCTGAGAACTTGTGCTCCGTGACCCAGAGGCCCAAGGCCACAGTGCGTGACCCAGTGACAGGAGACGTCCAAGACGGGATGAGGCTTGTGGGTGCCGGGGGCTACAGAGGGACAGGTGGCTATTCATGGGGATAAGGCCTGTTGTGTGTGACAGAATGTTCTGGAACTAGACAGAGATGATGGCTGCACAGCCTTGGGAGCGTCTCACTGTCACGGAGCCTGTTCTTCAGAAGGCTGACTTCTATCTCCGTGGCTCCCTGCCACCCCTGGGCCAGGGTGACAGTTCTCAGGAAGCCCTCACAGCTTTCCCACCAGACCACACCCCCCTGCGCCCCTGTGCTCCTCCGGCCTCCCGGGCAGCACCTGGCCACCATAGTCAGGGCAGCAGCAGCAGGGCCCTGTGCTGGGCGGGGCTCACCTCCAGATGGTGCAGGTGAAGTGCTGGTGGTCCTCGCTGGTGCCCAGACTCATCTGCCACTGCTGCAGGGAGAAGGCGGCACAGGTCACTCACAGCGACTCCCCATGCCAAGCTGCCCGCCTCTGGGCTCTGGTGACTTCCCATCCAAAGGCCTTGCCCCTCCCGAGAACCAGCGCGGTCCAGCCCCCGGGTAAGGGACCACGGAGGACTCGACCCAGGGAGGGTCCAGGCTTCTAGGAGGGAGAAGCTGGAGCCCACGAGGCTCTCGCTCCAGCCCGTCGACCACACAGCGCACGGGGACGTCCCGGGCTGCGGCAGCCGAGCTCAAGAGGGCAGAGTGCAGGACCTGAGGACAGGGAGTGGCGGGGGCCAGGGAGGCCGCACCGAGGGCACCAGTGACCAGGCGAATTAGGTGCCCGCCTCTCCCTGCGAGACTTCTCGCAACCGAGCAGGAGTCTAGAGACTCTGGCGAGAGAAGGCGGCGCCTGACACCGGTTCCCAGAAGAGTCCAGAGAAAGGGAATAAGACAGGCACCAGGCCCCGCTCCTGGCGCCCCCAGACGCCGTGAGCTGCGGTCGACATGGGCCCTGAAGCCCACCACGAGCCTGGGCGCCACGGGGTGGCAGCTGTGGCAGGACACCGGTGACTGGTGACAGAAAACCAGCCCAGGCTGGGGCGGGGGCTCAGTGGCAGAGGCTCGCCCAGCATGTGGGAGGCCCTGGGTTGGATTCTCAGCACCGCATATCAATACATGAATAAAATAAAGGTCCTTCACCATCTAAAAAAACAGTAAAAATCATACACACATTGGGCTGGGGGTGTGGCTCAAGCGGTGGCGCGCTCGCCTGGCACAGGGCGCTGGGTCGATCCTCAGCACCACATAAAATAAAATAAAGATGTTGTGTCTGCCGAGAACTAAAAAAAATATTTAAAAATTCTCTCTCTCTCTTTAAACAAAACAAAACAAAACAACAACAAAAATACACACACACAAAAACCCACTAACCCCAGAAGAATAACCCAGAAACTTCTCACGGCCTCCTGACTCCAGCCAAATGGCGGTGGAAAGCCGCCCTGGCGTCCTGGCTGCCCGGCAACCTGGCCAGCATGACCCTCGTCGAGTCCGATCACTGGCCCCGGCTTAACATGGCAGCGTTCTCGTCCCTAGAGGCGAGGCCATCTCTATGTCACCTCCAGCGGGCGCTTTGCCTGGGAGTACAAGTGTGGGGACCATCGCTCCCCGTGACCAGGGAGCGCCCCCCCCCCCACTCAGCCCGTGTTGGTTTTTTTTTTCTAATTTGAAACACCTGTTTGTGGCTCCGCGGGCTATGGACACCACGACACTTCAATTTGATGAGGTGCCTGGAGGGAATTCACTCAGGAGGGTCCAGGAGGCTTTCCCCAGCTCTTTCTTTTTTTAAACATTTCTTTTGGTTGGACCAATACCTTTGTATTTATTTATTTTTTTAATGTGGTGCTGAAGATCGAACCCAGGGCCTCGGACGCACTAGGCGAGGGCTCCGCCACTGAGCCCAGCCCCAGCCCAATCCCCAGTCCTTAAAGGTCCTAAAGGCGAGTCACCTGAGAGGCAGGCCGAGGCAGGAGAATCACAAGTTCCAGATCAGCCTCAGCAACTCGGTGAGGCCGCCCTCAGCACAAACTGGGGGGGGGCGGGGGGGGCATGCACGACTCAGCGGCTTCCAGGACCACCAGGCGGCCTGCCACCTCCCCATTCCAGAACACCCACACCACCCCAAGAGGAAGCCCATTCCCACGAGCAGTCACCTGTCCCTCCCCAACCTTGCACCATGAATCCACGTCCTGCCTCTGGACTCTCCTGTCCTGGACATTCCCTGTCACTAGAGCCACATACTGTGTGGCCTTTCACATCCACACTAGAGCAGGTCACCTCTCTCCTGTTCCTGACTGAATGATATTCCACTGCAGGGAAGTCCCACATCACATGTTCCACTCACTCGCCAATGAACACTTGGTGGCCTGTGCTTCATGGCCACTGCGGAAAACGCTGCTATGAACACTCTTGTGTGGGCCTACGTTGCTGCTGCGGCTGGCTCGGTTGGCAGGGCTCCTTTACTTATGGGAAATGGCCATGACGTTTTCCAGAGGGGCTGTGCCTGTGACTCTACTTTCTGGTGGCTCCACATGTCGCTGGCCCTGCAGTGCTATGAGGACTGTCCCTCTGCCTGGGTCCCCGATGCCAGCTGGCTGCACCAACCATGGTGAAGGGACACAGATGCTGCCCTCGCCTGCGGCCCACCGGCTCCCACCTCCTCCGGGCCTCGGGACGCAGGCCTGCCCTTCCAGACAAAGAGCCCAGGCCTCTCCGCAGCCTCAGTGTCTGTGGCCCCAGGAGTGCCTCTGTCTCCCTGGACACCACAGGTCATCTCACCCAGTCTGTGCCATTTATTCAGAATCCATCCTGGCATTCACCCGCGAGGCGGCAGCAGGCAGGGAGACGGGAAGCCCATAGATCCACCTGTCGGGCAGCAGCCACAGGCACCATCCAGCTTGGGCGGCCAGCCCCGCCGCAGCTGTCTGGGGACATTCGTGGCTGTTACAACTCAAGGTTCTCCTGGCCGGAGTGGGTGGAGGCCAGAGACTGCTCCACACCCGGTGGTGCCCGGGAGGCCCACTTAAGAGAGTGGCCAGCCCCAATGTCCAGGGCGCAGAAGGGAGAGGCCTGCCCTTGGCACCCATGTGCTTCTCTGATTGGGCAAGCGGAGGCCCGGCCTGCTGGGAGTGGTCCTGCCCTCAGCGTCCACCATCGGGATTCCCAGCAGCGTCCATCTCTAGGCTATGTCGTTACGGGGCTGCTCTGGAATTAGAGAGCGTTCCCTGCAGCCTGAGGTGGGGAGGGACGTCACCCCAGGGGTGCAAGATGCTGTCCCGGGTTCCACGGTAGCAGCTCTACCTCCTAACATCCTGAGAAGGTGCCTCTCTTAAGCCCCTCCTCAGACGCTAACTGCTGTCCCTCCAGGGCCAGCCAGACTCCAGGGGACTCCACCTCGATCGCAGGGCACCTCCTCTGACGTGGCCCTTGCTGCACTCACTTCCTGTGGCTGCTGCAATAGATCGCCACACGCTTAGCGGCTCACAGAAACGGAGGCTCTCACAGTTCTGCAAGCGAAGTCCAAAATCAAGGTGTGGCCAGGGCTGTGCCCCCCAGAGGCCCCAGGCAGGGTCCTTCCTGCTCCTCCAGCTGCGGGGCTCCAAGTGACCCTTGGTTGTCGCTCAATGACCAGCGACATGCTTCACACCCGACTCTGCAGGGCTGTCTCCTCCGTGTACCCTCTTCCATCAAGCCAATCTCCACTGTGTCCCTCATCAGGACACTCGTACTGGACTGAGAGCCCAACCGGACACCTGGAGGCCGTTTTCATCTTGAGGTCCTTCACTTAATCACACTAGCCAAGACAGACACTTTCTACATAAGGCCCCACTCATGGGTTTCAAGACTTGGGTACAGACCGACCTTTTGTGGGGACACCATTCAACCCACTATGTTGACGAACAAGTCACCACAGACTTGGCTTAAACCCCCCACTGGGTGCCGACCCCAGGCGCACACGCTCGGCAAGGGCCCTGCCACCCAGCTGCGCTCAATCCAGTCCTCTTCAACTCTTTATTTTGAAACAGGGCCTACGTTGCTGAGGCTGGCCTGGAACTCGTGGTCCTCCTCCTGGGCCTGCTGGGCAGCTGGGACAACAGAGTGCACCTCTGCCCCTGACTCACGCTCATTTACCGCTTCACAGTTCTGCAGATCAGAAGCCAGGACACGGCATGCTGAGCCCTGTTTAGTCTCATGCGGCTGAAACCAAGGTAGTGGCTGGGTAGTGTCTCACCTGTTGCTCAGGGTCCTCTTCCACGTTCCCAGGTCGTGGCAGAATTCAGTTCCTTGCATTTGTAGGACTGAAGCCCCATTTCCTTACTCTCAGCTCCCAGAAGCCACCTGTGCTCCTTGCAATGGGGTCCCTTCAAAGTCAGTTAGGGTACACTGTATCCTTCCCACTTAATGAATTTTTCCTTTATTTCCTCTTCCGCTGTCAGCTGGAGAGAACAGCCGGCAAGGAATGGAACCTTGTTCCTTCAACCGCAAAGAGCTGAATTCTGCCTAAAACCGCAACAGGCCTCTAAGAGGACTTTCCCCAGAGCCTGCAGATAAGGGCCAGGAGGGAAACCTTGATTTTGGCTTCACACAGTGTCCAGCTGGGCCAACCCTGACTCTCTACAGACCTGAGAGACAACAAATGGTATTGCTCAAAGTCACTAAATGTGTAGCACTCTGTCATTCAGCACAGAAAAGGAATGCAGCACCTCTGGTAGAGGCCAACGAGAATGGCCGAGTCTTGTCTAGAGCTCCCTCGCTCGCTCTGTGGACAAAAGAGCACGATCGGCCTTCTATTCCGTGGCTCACCACGGGAGCTCAATGACCAGAAGCCGAGGCTCATGTAACCCAGCTTCACTGTCCCCTGGAGAGCCTCTCCGCGTGACAAGGTATGTGGACTCCCCAACAACTCACCTCGTTGGTGCCGCCCTGAGAAGCGTAGGTGAACATGCAGGTGAACTTGTCCTAAAGGAGGAAAAACGGGTTAGCAGGGAGCACAGGTCGCCTCCGAGGAAGTCCCTGGAGGCCAACCCTGACACGCCCCAGCGGCTACTGACCGCGGCTGCCCTGACCGCCTCTTCCTACCCCTGGGTTCCAGGGTCAGCAAACAACCCACCTGATTTCTGGGGAAAGGCCACACTCACTCCAGCAACCACGGCCTCGAGGGACATGGGTTTTGGAAACAAGGGCACCAGGGGCTCCTGGCCAAGCGAAAACTGACTGGGTCCTCTGCGAACAGGGCTGGCGAGCACCCCTTATAAGGAGGCACCTGGCACCGCGGACACCGCGGGCACGAGGGGAGGCTGCGGGCCGAGGGGACCCCCGACGGGCGGGGCAGAGCTGGGCCGGACGCAGGCCCGCGGCCTCCAGGGACGGAGCCGCCTCGCACCTGCGGGACCGGCGGTGACCTCGCACGGCCCTGCAGGGCCCCTGCCCCTCTGCCTCGGGCCGCTCTCCCCACCTCAGAGTCGCGAGGCCAGGACGCCGCGGGCAGGTGACAGGTGGGCCGGGGCGGGGCTGTAGCCACGCCCCTCGGAGGCGCGGAGCCCCCGAGGCCCCGCCTCCCGCCAGGTCCTCAGTGACCGCCCCCCCCCCACCGAGGGACGGTGCCCCTCGCCCAGACGGCACCACCTCGCTCAAACGCCCGGGGCGGCGGTGGCACGTACCCCGGGGCCCACGTTCTGGGAGAAGGAGTGCACGACGCCCCCAGGCCGCACGTCAAACGCCACCGTCATGGGCTCGGACACCGCCTCCGCCTGCCTCAGCGCTACGACCAACAGCAGCGCAGCCCACCAGCCCGCGCTGCCGCCGTCCCTCTTTTCGCTGGGCGCCGCCATCTTGGGATCGGGTCCTCGGCTCAGGGCGGGCGGACGGGACGCGGCGAGGGACACGCGCGGCGCCCTACGCCGGCCACGTCGGCGTCCGCGCCGTCACGTGACCACACGCCCCGCCCGTTCGCCATCTTGGGGGCGGGGCTTGGGTGTCTGTGTCCCGCGTTCCGGCGCTTCCGCCTGGTGCGCGGGACGAGTTTGTCGCCGGAGCTGGACGCCTGGTCCCGGTGGCAGCCCAGGTCCGCCGGGGACGCAGAAGGGAATGTTCTCGTTTAACAGTGGTCTTGTTTCTGTGTCACTTTGTAATGAAAGTTGGAAGGTCATTTCCTTGCCTTTAAATGTGTCTCCTGCCTCTGCTTTTAGGTGATGCCACTTAGGACGTCTGCCGGCGGCTGTCGCCGTCATACACAGACACCTTGGGTGTTTCTCTGAGGGTCTGGAGGGACTGCTCATGTAAAAATGCTGGTTTAGACTTTTTTTTTCTTTTTTCCGTTGCGCCGCGGAAGGCGGCTTGGGTGGACAGTCCTGCAGGAGTCTGTCCTCCTCCACTCCAGCAGGACGCGAAGGGCATGTCCCCCGACTCAGGAGCACCCCCCGCACTTACCAGTGACAAAGGGGAAAAGAAATGTTGTGGTGGCCCCCCGTCACCCAGGGGGCAAAGTTAACATCGCTAATAATGACAGCGACATCACAGACCTGCTGGGACATGCTGAGGGGGCACGGCACCCCGTGGGACTCCTGCTAAAATCGCGTGCTTACCACTGGACAGATGTGAATCAAAGGACATTCTACAAAATAACTGACAGGCTCCAGGAGTGTGTCACATAACAGAGAGAAACCATCACAGAATGAGACCTAACAAAAGGGGACACACTGCAGGATCCTTGTGGGAGGGACACAGGAGGAAGAGCTGTTCAAAGTCTGATGCAGTCTGTAGGGTGGTGGACGGGACAGGTAGATGGTCACCCCCTGGCCTCAGGCACCCCACTCTCTGCAGCTCCTGAAGAAGCTGCCCCTAGGCGAAGCTGGACTGAGCTGTTAGGGGGCTCCGGACAATTTTTGCAACTTATCTTAGAGCCTGAAATTACTTCAGAATTAACAATGAAAAAGAAAAAACCCACCTTTAAGAGTTGACAAGAGGGTTAAGTGAGGGAATGCGGGTGGAATTCCTCTCCCAGACTGGGAGAGCTCTAGTAGCCACTACAGACAGATGCCCATTAGGAAAGGCCAGGCTTTCCCGGCGGCTCGGGAGGCAGACAGGAGCGTTGCAAGTTCAAAGCCAGCCTCAACAACAGCGAGGCACTAAGCAACTGAGACCTTGTCTCTAAATAAAATGTCCAATAGGGCTGGGGATGTGACTCAGTGGTTGTGTGCCCCTGAGTTCAATCCCTGGTACCCCCTCCCCCCACCAAAAAAAGAAAAAAAAAAACCTCTAGGCTTTCATATTGGTCTAGAAACATTAAAACAATTTTTTTTTCCATTTGTACAGGGATAATGCAGTCTACTAAATATGTAATGTCGATGTGGGTTTGATTACAGAAGCTGGTGAAGTATTCTGTAAGTACTGGCAAAAATAAAAGAAATTCCAGGCTTTCAAGTTTGGAAGGAAATCATTGTTTTGGTTACAAATTGCTTAAGATGTCAGGAAAACACCAGTGGACAGGTCTGGAGGGTGAGGAGTTCAGCTGGTATTCCTGGTCCTTCTGGTGATGGAAGAGCAAACCAGGGAAACTGTCCTAGGTAAAACCCTGAAGCCCGGCCCTACTCACCCTTCGAGGAACTAAACACTCTTCCCCCCAGACACGAGGACTGGGATCGGCATCCTGGAGCTAAGGAGGGTCCTGCCAAAGCCTCCGCAGCTGGTGGGAAGGCCAGGCTGGGTGCGTTTCTTCCTCTTGGCCAGGTGGGGTGGTGCACACCTGTCATCCCTGATGAGGTGAGGCAGGGAGATGGGAACTTAGTTATATCCTGTCTCAAAAAAAAAAAAAAAAGGGCTGGGGATGTGGTTCAGTGGTAGAGCACCTGCCTGGCATGTCTGAGGCCCCGGATTCCATCCCTAGCACCAACAGAGGAGCGGGCAGGGAGGGAGGGAAATGCCCTCCTCTTTGCCACTGCCTGCTCTGGGCACTAAAAGCTGGACGACCATACTTCTTTACCTAGGGCATCTGACACAGCTGGGTTCCACTGACAGATTCCCCATCACCTTGTCACCACCCAGCTTCACCCTGTCACCATGAAGGATTCAGTTAGTGGCCAAGCTCTGTGTACAGCAAGGTATTTCAGCTGTGAGCTGCTTCAGTCTTCTACTGAAGTGGGTCGGCTTTTGAGGACATCTGTCTGTGTCTGTAGAAAGACCCCAAGTCCCAAGCAACTTCTGTTCCTCTTTTTTGTTTCTAACAAACATGAAAAATAAATCACTGTGAAGGAATTAAAAGGTCCCTGTCATCCCAAAGATCTTGCCTTCTAATCCTGATGGTGAGCCTAGCATCCCAAAGGAGCGGGTCTGACCTTGTGGACATCTCTTCTGTCCAGGAGCCCTGGAGGGGTGGGTGGACGCACAGGGGTACCGTGTAGGAAGCACTCTTGCTGAGTGCTGGCCGCGGGAATCTGTGCAGGTGACAACATGGAGCAGAAGCAAAGTGCGTGTGAAAAGGGGTAAAACCCAAATAAGGCGTGGAGCCAAATCAGGAGCTGGCGGCCTCAGGGAGCCGGATGGGGGCACCCCAGGCTCTTGATACCACTTTCTCAACTTCCTGTGTGTCTCTCTGGTTTGTCCGTCTTTGGTGGTGCTGGGGACGGAACCCAGGGCTCGTGCATGCTAAGCACAGGCTCTGCCATGTGGCATGCCCCAGCCTGCAGCCGTCACACATGCGCTCTGTGTGCTGTGCTGGGGATGGAACCCAGGGCCTGGCGTGGGCAGGCAAGTGCTGTCCCACTGAGCCACACCCCAGCCCGATTATTACTTTTAAATGTGTCTGAAAGGCAAATGACCCCCCCCTCCCCGTGAATACCTGCAGCATGTTGCACGGGGAGGGGACCTCTGTCACAGTGTTCCTTGCCAATCAGGAGAGGCCACAAACAGAAAAGTAACCCAGCCTGGGAGGAGCAGCCCCTGTGGTGAGGGGATCCCCCAGCAGCCAAGAAGACAGTGGGCCCAGCTGCCACCCACTCTCTTCTTTCCCCTTGCATAGTGGCCCTGGACAGGAAGTGACCCACTCAAGACTAATGACACTCCTCATTAAATGAGTGACGTAGGACAGTTGATGAAAGTGTAGGTCTCCAGCAGCTAGGCCTCCTTGGGCAACCTCAGCAACCCCTTTCCCACCGGCTTGGTCATTCTGTGATCTCTGTGATCTTTAGCCTGTGAATTATGAGTGTGCCCCTAGGTATTCGATTTCGCAATGTTAAGTGAACGACATTTTCTTTTTCTCAACAGAATGGTTTTTTAAGATTCATTGGCTGAGCTTCTTACCATTACAACACACAGAGATTGACATATGTATGACAACGGACTGATTTCCTTCAAATATAAAGAGCACCTACAAATCAATGAGACCCACAGGTCAAATAAAGGTGGACAAAGGACAGAAACAAATGACTACTAGAAAACGGATGTTTTAAAATATGAAAAGATCACCACAGGAAAGAACAATGGAGTCTTACCTAGAGGTGCCACTCGTAAGACTGGCAAAGATGATGCCATTTGGTAACACATTGTACTGGGAGCAGAACAGAGAAGCAGGCACGCTCTGCACCTCTCTTGGGGGGAGGGTACTTTGAGGGGTTCTCTTTGGGAGGCAGTTTGGTAATAGTCTTCAGATTTATGTGAATGTGCCTTCTTGCCTGTGGTGCTGGGCTGGGCCCGAGGCAAGCTGTCCCCCTGAGCCACAGCCCAGCCCTTATTTTTTGAGACAGGATGTCATCAAGTTGCCGAGGCTGACCTCGAAACTGCCTCGGCCTGAGTTTTTGGTTTCTAGTTCATTTTTTAGAATTGGGCTTCCCAAAGGACGGAGAGAGGGCCGGGGCAGGCAGTCTGGCCCAGCACTGCAAACCTCAATGCCCAAGCCGCCCCACCAAGGCCTCCCTGGGTCTTAGCTGTTGGGACAGAAACGCAGAGGGCATGGATCTTCCCGCCTGGCCCTTGTGATCCTGTGGACAAGGACAGGCACCAGAGGGGGCGAGCATGGCGCCAGCAGGGAGCAGCTGGCCTCTGGCCCCTTGCAGGCAGGAGGCTCTTGCCAGGCCCGGCCCCAACTGCCCTGCTGAGGCTGTGGCAGTGGCCCCGCCCTCCCGCTCAGGCCTCAGCAGGCGGCAAGGCTTCCGTGTGGGACTGTTTAATGAGTCTACTTCTCACACACATAATTATAAAAGAATAAGAATCGACAAAAATATTTTCTTTCCTTAATATGTAGAGGTGTTCCTGTTTTTTCCTTTTCTTCTTTTCCGTTCGCCTGATCTCTTGGCAGGGAGGCAAAGGGAGAGTGGGACCCCAAGGTGGGGCGTTTCCAGGTCCCAACCCCAGAACCTGGCACACGGGGGCCAGGCATGTGGCTGCCACTGGGCTAGTGAGGGGCCGGCAGCCACAGGCACCCAGAGCCACCAGAGAGCTGCGGATGGCACCGGGGCGGCCCTGCGGCTCTGCCCTGGGCTGGGGAGTGGGCTCAGGCACCTCGGCTGGGCCGCAGCGCCACCGTCCAGTGCATGCCCGGTTCTGATTCAGGTACCCCTTGCTTTCTGTCTTTTAAATAATTATTTAAAATGACCCCCAAAACACAACACAGATATGAAGTGGGTGGCCGGCGGGAGGACAGGCGTCTGCATGCTCCTGTGCTGGGGACGGTGGCTGACCGGGGGTGGGGAGGAGAGGCCCGAGCCACAGGGTGGAGACCCAGGGCAGGTAGGTGGGAGCCTCCCAGCCCCCAGTCTCTTCTGTGTCTCCAGTGCCCGGTGGGGACATGGCCTTCTCCTTCCAGAAGGCAGGGCGAGGAGGGACGACTCGAGGCAGTGCCTCGTGGAGAGAGGCCACCATCTCTGTCCTGGCAACCACGAAGCAGCAAGCAAAGAACCCAGGAGCAGTGAAGAGAAAACCAAGGCTTCAGGGCACGAAGGCAGCGGCTCCCCGGCTCCAGGGCTGTCTGGCGGGTGCTGGGAGGAGGCACCTCCCCAGGGCCTGTGGCCACCAGGTCCTTCCAGCCTGGTCCTCCGCAGGGTGGCAGCCGCAGAGGCCCTTGTGCTCTGGTGTGGAGCTCCTGGCGGCTCAGAGGTATTCCTGCAGGAAGTGCAGCAGCGTGACCTCGTAGTGCTCGCCCGACTCGGGGCAGCGGATGCTGTGTCTCTCGTTGGGGTAGATCTGCGGGAGACAGGCGCGGGCTGGGTGCTCCGAGAGCCCACTTCTGACACCCCCCGTGTAACGCGGGCACTTCCTGGAAGCGCGGGGAGAAGTCCAGGCCTCCCCGGCTCCTTGGCAGGTTCAGGAAGTGTGGGTGGAAGGGGTGCCCCTTCCTCACCCCTCCGGGGCGAGGAGGCCAAGGTGGGGCCCAGGAGGGCGCCCTTACCCTCAGCCACTCCAAGCTCCAGGCCCCAGGCTGTGGCCCGGCACTGTGCGGGGACAGAACCAGCAGATGCCCTGACCTGTGCTGCCTAAGCCCGGCCCCTGGGGGGGGGAGACGGAGACACTGGTCTGGTTCCTGCCATAAAGCAGCCTTCCAACAGCTCCCTGCTGCCCCCAGGGGCCACGGGGCAGGCCTGACACCAGGAAGCCCCTCCCAAGGACCCAGCTCCATGTCACACTGGGGCTGCCCAGCAGCACAGGCAGGTGCCATTTCCCGCCTCTTCCTGTCAGGGAAATGGGCTTCAGGTCCATCCCTCCTCTCCAGGTCCTCAACCACCACCCAGGCACCAGGCCACCCGCTGGTCTGCTCTCCTCTACCCTTGTCTTCTTTAATCCATCCCTGGGTGAGTCACCAAGTGAGACCTCTGCCAGGACTCGCCAACTAGCGCAGCCCCTAGGGCTGCATGGGATGGGGCGAGTGCCCCGTCAGCTCTTCAGCCTCCCTCCTGTCTATGGCCCTCACAGACACTTACCCCCTTTCTATCACAGCACCCTCCTCCTAACAGGCAAAACAATCCTTCTAAGGCCCGATCCTCAACTGACCAAGGCCAGCCTCCCCAGCCAGGCCTCCCCACCGACGCTCCACCCAATCAGTGGAGCCCTCCTAAACCCACTAAACCCCACTGTCCCCCAGGCCCCACCCAGCTGGCCCCACCCCTACCCTGCTCAGGCTGCTCTGGCCACTTGTTCCCCAAGCTCCTTCCTCCTACAGACCAAGTTGTCCCAGGCCTGGGTCCACAGGACCCGGGGACCCCTGGGTCCCACATGCCCCTGCTCAGGGGAGTCCCTCAGGCCCCGTGAGCCCTTGTAAGATCCCCACCTCCAGGAAACCACTGGACCCTTGAAGCAGAGACTTCAAGGGTCCAGTGGTCTCCTCCCAGCGGGTGCCTCTGAGTCAACCATGGCTGTGCCCCCTCCTGACCCAACTGGGGGGATCTGGGTTCCCAGCACTAAAGGTGGCATGGGACTTGGAGGCACCATACACAGCGGTGCGATAACCCAAGGACACAGGGTCCTTGGGGGCAGCCGGGCTGCAGGAGCAGGGGAGGGTGGGCCAGGGCCTTGCCCTGGGGACGGTGCTGGGCCCAGGTAGCGGAGGGAGGCAGTGAGGCGGCCCCGCGGGGCGGCGGGCAGCGGCTCACCTGGAGCTGGTAGGGCTTCCCGGCCCGGATCAGCTGGGAGACGAGGAAGTTGGTGTGGAAAAAGTGCACGTTTTCGTCCAGGAAGCCGTGAAGGATGAGCAGGCGGTTGGGCCTGGAGGACAAAGTGGGGCAAGAGGCTGAGGCCAGGGTCCCTGGGTGGGGTGGGAGGACACACCAGGGGTTCAGGGTGCCCCCAGCCCCAGTGTGGCCCAGGACCCAGGTGAAGGCTGGAGCAGGACTGACAAGGCACAAGTCCAGGGCTTCCAGGCAAAGCGGGGAGAGGCACCCGCGCCCCCGGGCCACTCTGGATGACAGCACGTTCTAGAGCACCCTGTCCACCAGTGACTGGGTCACCTGTGGCTGCTGAGCAGGTGAAAAGGGGCAGAACGGCAGAGAATTCGTTTTCCTTTCTTTTCTGGTACCAGGGATTGAACCCAGAGGCGTCCTACCTCGGGCCACACCCCAGCCCTTTTCCTTTTCTGTTTTGAGCAGGGTCTCACCAGGTCGCTCACAGTCTTGACAGACGGCTGGCTCTGAACCCGACATCCTCCCGCCTCAGCCTCCACACTGCTGGGATCGCAGGTGCGGCCCCGCTCCCAGCAAGAATTAAATTTTTTACTTCTATAAAGTATCGATTGAGTTGCAATTCACCAAGCCCGCAGGCGGCCATTTCCAAGGGGACAATCCAGCTGCATCCGGGGCCTGGCAGGGCTGTGAGTCCTCCACCTCTCTGGTTCCAGAGTATCACACCCTCCAAAGTAAAGCCCAGTCCCACAGGCAGCTGCACGCGGCCCTGGGTCGCCTGCCTCGGCAGCCTCAGACTTGCTGGTTCAGCTGCTCATGGCAGCCCCAAGCCAGTGGTGCGGCAAGGGCAGTGGAGTCCACTCTGGCTGCACATAGTGCCACTGGGACACACAGCAGACCTCAGCCCCTCCTAACACCCAGGGCCTGGGGACACCAGCTAGAAGTGGACGCCCCAGAAGGTGCCAGTCAGCCAGAGGAGGCCAGCGTCAGTGCATGGCCACCACACCCAAGCCTCTAGACTGACGGACAGGAAGACCGCAGAGGCCAGCGCCTGTTAAGGTGGTTCAGGGCAAGACCCTGCCACGGTGGCCAGACGCTCTGGGGCAGACCCTGGGGAGGGCTGTGCCTGGGCAGTGTGGGGACCCCTAGAACATCCTGGGGCACCCACTTGCTGCGAGGGGCGCTGGGAAGGGAAGCTGGCAGGAGGCGGCATGCAGGCACAGCGCCGGGACAGCAAGCTTGTGGCCAGGCCTCAGGCCCAGCAGGCAGGGTGGAGGGCGGGGCAGGCGTGCGGGGCGTGCGGGGCAGGCGGGAAAGGGCAGGCCCAGACGGGGCAGCAGGCACTCCGCACGCGGTGGGGCCTCACTCGTTGGGCAGCTTCTCCACGTGCAGGGCCACGGAACCCGCGTCGTAGCCATGCTGGTTGTTTTCTGGAACGTCCATGTAGCGCTCCGTGTACCCTGTGTCGTAGGCCATCCAGACGGTGACAGGGGCCCCCGCGATGGCCACCTGAAGGGTACAGTGGACAGATGGGGCAGAGAGAGAGAGAGAGAGAGGCGTCAGGTCCCAGGAGCCAGCACGTGGCCGGCTGTCCCGGGGCCTCCCCTGGAGGGCATGAGGATGGTCATGCAAGGGCCTGGCGGGGCGTGGCCCTCAGACCGTCTGTCCCCGTGGACTGTGCGTCTGTCCCCGTGGACTGTGCGCTGGTCAAGGGAGGCGGGGCGCCGTGGGAGGGTGGGTGAGGCCCCTTGGGGCGGAGGGCGGGCCCGACCCAGCGCCTGCTGCTCTCCTCCTCCTCCGCACGGCCGCCCCGCAGTGCCCTGACAGTGCCTCGGCCTGGGCCCTCCCCGACGCTCTCCACACCATGCCCCACCTCTGCCCATCCGAGGCCGGGGTCCCGGGCTCAGCCTCCCACAGAGAGCTGCTGGCAGGGTTTTGTGCAGCCGGTGGCCATCCTGGGGTCAGCGTGGCGGGCATGAGGAGGGGGGCTCGGCCCCGGGGGCTGCTGCAGGGAGGAAACAGCCACGTGGCAAGGCCCCTGCCGAGGTGCCTCCCCCGGGGGCAGGCAGAGTGGGGTGGCCAGCAGGAGGGAGTGGGGTCTGTGGACGTGGCTGTCCAGGGAAGGACCCACCTTGAACACCTGGGGCTTGTGGATCAGCCCCATGAGCGAGAGGAAGCCCCCGTAGGACCAGCCGTGGATGGCCACGCGACTCAGGTCGATGAAGCCGTACTTCTGCGCCACGAACTGCAAGCCCTCCACCTGGTCTTCGATCTCCACCTGGCCCTGGGGACGAGGCCGGACCCTCAGTGGCCTCCTCCGGGAACACCCCGGGGTCCACCTCGCCTCCGTGGGGAGCCTCTCCCTCCTGGATCAAAAGCAGCTCTCCGGGAACACTGTCTCGCCAAGCCCCGCTCAAACCCACCTGCTCTGCGGGGACGGTGACCAGGTGTCAATGGCCACTGCCCTATTCTGCCACCTGCCTCCTGAGTGACTCAGAGAAAGTCACATTCCCTCTTGGGGCCTCAGACGACTCATTTTTGAAATGGGGATATTCACGGGACCAGGACCCATTTTACAGTGGGCGTGAGGGTGCAGCGTGCTGAGGAGAGGCCATCCCGTCTAGCGCAGAGCCACCGCCACAGGCTGGCTGAGAGGGTTCCTGCCAGGGCGGCCTTAAGGGGAGGCCTTTAGGAAGGGACTGAGCCAGAAGGGCCCCACCCTAGTCCCGGCTGCCCAGATCGTGAGCCCCTCCCCAGGGAAGGTGACGTGCCGGCTGGGAGCAGAGCGCACCGAGACCTGTCCTGCACCTCCTCTTGACTCCCAGCCCCCAGAAGTGGGAGGATCTTCTTGGGGGGACGGGTACTGGGGACTTAAGCCCGGTGCTCTAGCGCTGAGCCCTCCACCTCCCTTATATTTTGAGACAGGGTTTTGCTAAGTATTTCAGGCCTTGAACTTGACTCCTCCTGCTTCCGCCTCTTGAACAGGTGGGGATCAGGAGTGCAGGCCGCTGCCGCCGCCCAATTTCTGTTTTTTACGAATTTTCCAGCGCATGGTACTTTGTTACAGCATAAAGACGAACTGAGACAACCAGCATCGCCAACCCCCCAGCACCAGCACCGTTACCATCACCATGACTACACCATTGTCAGCATCGTCACACTGTCACCATCACCACCATCACTTCTACAGCCACCAGTCTTCCTGTGATCCACACCTTGGGAATTCCTGTGGCCCTGGCCTGTACCTTGGTCTCTGGCTGGGTTTGGGTCCCAGCTCGCCTATGCCAGGGGCTCAGGAGCAGGTGGAATGGACAGCTACCCGTGTCCCCTGGGGGCCAGCTCAGAGTCGAGTGGTGAGGCAGGTGTCCCCTGGGTTCTGAAAGGCCACCTGCTTACTCCATGCTGGCCAGCACTGCCCTCGTGTGGGTGTGCCCTAAGCGAACCCCACATGACCTAGAGCTCCCTGCACAACACAGAAGGGGCCCGGAGTGACCAGGAAATTACCATCTGGTTTTTCAGGGCCCCTTCGAACCGAAGCCCTCGTTGGCAGGAGCCCCGGCCGTCGATGACCACCACGGCGTAGCCCAGGGAAGCCAGCGTGTTGAGCCGCAGGTACTTGATGCCCTTGAAGGAGTTGTTCACCAGCTGCACCTGCAGGCGAGGAAGCGCAGTGAGCGTCTGGGGAGGGACACCAGGCAGGCCAGGCCAGGGTAGGAGGCCAGGGGCCCGGGGGGAGGACAGGTCCACACCCACCTGGGGGCCCCCGTACACAAAGAGCACAGTGGGGTGCTTCTTCCCCGGCTGCAGGGTGTGCGGCTTGTAGATCATGCCGTAGAGCCGCACGTCCGACCGCGTGTGGAAGTGGAAGATTTCCGGAGGCACGTAATCTGGGGGGCAGCCTATGGGAAAGCGCTGTGACCAGGCGGCTGGGGGCTGCCTGCGGCAGCTGTGCCTCCCCAAGCCTTGAAGGGTGGACCAAAGCACCCCCTGTTGCTGGGGTTCCTGAGCCCAGGTCATGTCAAAGGGCCAGGAAAGCACTGGTCAGCTAGGGACATGGTGCTGCAAGCTGCACACTCCCGGTGAGCCCTGGGGTGAGAAGGCCCGTCCACCAGCTGTCCTTCCCCATGTCACCCCGACGACACCCAGCCTGGCAGGGATACTGACACCCCAATCGCCCGAGCAGAGACACCAGCCCAGAGCCCAGCAGACGCGTCTCAGGCTGCTTCCCATGGACTGCAGCAAGGCGGGGGGTGGGGGGGCTTCTGTCCTTTGGTCATTCTTTGCAGCTCTTGGCAGTACTGGGGATGACCCAGGGCCCTGCGGCCGGGCAAGCGCTCCACCCCCAAGCCACACCCAGCCCGTTTGGATTTTTGAGGTAGGGTCTCTGAGTCGCTGAGGCTGGCCCCGCACTTGCCACCCTCCTGCACTGGCTGGCCCTGCTCAAGGCCTCCCTGAGGGCTTCCCAGGTAAACAGGGTCCATGGGAGCTGGGCTCGGCTCAGGGGCAGAGCGCTCGCCCACACGTGTGTGGCACCGAGTCCCATCCCCAGCACCACATCTAAATAAATACATAAAACAAAGGTCCCGTCCACGTTCAACTACCGGCAAAGGAAAAAACAGGACACTCAGATCAGTTTAAAGGAAGGTTGTCATTAATACAGCCACGGGATTGGCAGGTCACTGCCCAGGGCCGTTCGTCTGTGTCCTAACTACTTAGCTGCTGCTGTAGCTCAGCCACGGCCATGGGCAGTGAAAGTGACCACAACTGGCCAGGTTCTAACCTGGCATGGACCAGGAGGTCCGGGAAGTTGGCCTCAGGCACCTGTGGCACACCTAGGACACCTCGTCCCATTTTTGACCCATCTCTGACCCTGGCGCTGTGCCGGCCCCTCCCTGCGCTGGCCAGGGCGTCTCCATAGCGACAGGGCAGTGAGGGTGGAGCTGGTGGTGGAGAGGCCCTTCTACCCACTGCTGTCTCAGGAGGTAAGGATAGGGCAACATGCTCGCGAGGCCCCCTGACATCCCTGCAGGCCCAAGATTCCAGTTTCTGGAATGTTCTGGGAAGCAGCAACATGCAGAGTCAGGGCTACAGCTGGTCCCCTGGTGCCAGGCGCTGCCTGAGCCCTGTCTTCACCGTCTGCTCCACAGACGACCCGTACCAGGAAACCACCCCACAGCAGCCTGAGGCTCCACAGCGCGTCCCCCAGAGCCAGAATGTGGGCCCGGGACCACTGGGCAGTCCTGACTGACCTTGGGCTCCTGGGCAAACTGTCAGACACTTCCTGTTCCCCTGAGGTCCCTAGGTGACCCCTCCCCTGCTTCTTTCAGAAACTATGGCTTCAGAACCTCTGCTCTGTGCAGGTGCCGTCACAGGGGCCACCTCTGAGCAGAGGACTCCGGATGGCACCTGCCATCTGGATGGCACAGCTGGCTGTGGAAGGGTGGAGCAAGTTTCCAGCTGGCTGCATCACTCTGAGCTTCCATGGCCCCCTGCTCCCTTCCCACGGGCCCTGAAGTCCCCGGGACCTAGCTCTGTGTGCTGTGCGCTGCTGCCTGGCAGGTGCCATGGACCCCCGAGTCCCTGAGCCAGGTCACGGCCTGTGGGGCCACGGCCACAGTTATGTTCTGACGTATCCTGGGGCTCCTGCAAGGACGGTTACAGCTGCTGCCCTCTGCTCACCAGGGTGTCCCTCATACCCGGGGACAGACGCGCAAGCCGAGCTCACCAGGGAGGGCCGGCTACTCACTGGCTGCCTCCATCATGCTGGCCCAGAAGCGGGGCTGCTTGTGCAGGGGGTCGTCGTCGGGCCCGCTCAGCTTGTAGACGTGCACGCAGGGCGGGGTGCTCACGCTGCTGTAGTGGCTGATGAACATGTCGAAGCTCTGTGGGGGACGAGGTGCTGGTCTCCAGGAACAGGCACAGTGCCCTGCAGCCGGGGCGCCTGTGCTCTTCCCGCCCCGTCACGGGGGCACTCTTCACCTACTGCTCATCTGGATGTCATGCCGCCCCCCGCCGTGGCTACCAATGCCCCATGTGCAAATAAGGAGAGGGGCTGAGCCTGGATCTGTCTGGGACCAGTGTCCAGGGAGCTGCCACCGTGGGGCCTGCTCGCCTGGCCGTGCTGGCAGTGGCCCTGTGTGTGTGCCCTGCCTCGGGGTCGGCACAGCTTGGAGCTAAGGCTGAGGCCCACTCACAGCAGCGGCACCAAGGCTCAGTAGGTAGGCCGTGGTGCTCCGGGGACACCACTCCCTCCCTCCCCGCTGCCAGGTAGGGGTGGGCAGCACCAGCCCTGGGGGACACTGGGCAGGAGCCAGCATGCACCTGGCTCATGGAGCAGCTGTGGGAGAAGCCGGGCGTGGTGAGGCGCACGATCTCGCCGGCAGACTCGTAGCTGACCACGTAGAGGTGGTGCTCCAGTGGCGTGTCCTTTGTGCCTTGGAAGTACACCAGCTTGGTCTCCTCATTGACCCAGATCTGCAGGGAGGACACAGTGCTTGGGACCAGCCTGCCCCCTCCCTGGTGGACCCCGTTGCCTGCAGCCAGGGGACCTGCTCCCCACCATCTCTGCTACACAGCTGCCTATGCTGCCTGGTCTGGCCCCATGTCCTTCAGAGGGCCGGAGTTACAAGGTCAAGCCTAGATGGCCCTTGGGACTGTGGAGGCATCAATCTGGAGGAAGGCTGCGTGGGTCCCAGGGCCAGCCCGTCTCTCTGGCCAAGGGCTAGAAGTAAAGAAGTAGCAAGGCCCCTCCTAGCCCCAGGTTCTTAGATGGTGTCCCCAGGCATAGCTCAGAGCTGCAGCCCCACGCCTGCTCAGGAGTCCCCGGGGCACACGGCTGCGGGGGCACGGCTATAGTCCAGCATTAGAAAACCCCGAGAGAATGGACCAGGTGGGGACAGGTGGCTACCTGGGGCAGGTCAGGCTGGTGGGTGGTGGTGAGGTGGCGCCACACAGGCAAAACACCTCCAGAGGGCACAGCCCTGGACTTGGGACAGAGGCTGCTGGAGCCCTTCCCAAGGAATTCCCCACATGGGGATGAGGACGCTGGAGGAGCAGGCCCACTTCACGCCAGGGGGCCAAGTGGGCCTTTGTAAAACCCCGTTGACCCCCACTGACAAAGACCACAGTGCTGTTGCCTGCAGGAGGCAGGGCTGCTGGCAGGGGCGGGCTCCTAAGGGACACTCTGTGCTGTATCTTGTCCTCTGTGGTGCTCGTGGACACAGGGCCTGCACATGCTGGGCAGCGCCCCCCACAGACCACCCCGCCCCAGGCTCCATTTATTTGGGGGGACTGAAGTAGGCACAGTGGTGCCCGCCACTAAGCTGCATCCACAGCCCTTGTGATTTTCTTGAGACGGGATTTCTCTAAGTTGCTGAAGCTGAACTTGAACTTGATCCTGTGGACGCAGCCTCCCTGGGAATCCAGGTGTGTCCGGCGCCTGAGCTGCTTCCCACAAGCAGGTTCTCTAGACCCACAGGAGGCTGGGCCTCCAGCACTGCCCAGCTCCACAGCACATGTCGGCCCTCCCCGGGGCTTGTCCCCAGCGAGGCCTGGCTTGGGTGACACAGAACAGGGCAGACAGCACTTTAGAGAGCCCAGTCCTGTCCTTCCTCTTGTTTGTGGTCTGGGGGTCAATCCGGGCCCCGCATGTGGGAGGCTCTTCTTTCACTTCTAAGATGCTCCCGCCCCGTCTCAGGGTGGAGAGAGGCGCGTGCTGACAGGGCGCAGTCACAACCCCCGGGACGTGGTGCTTGTGCTGGCTCAGGACACCACACACTCAAGGTCACTGCATGCACGCGCACACACATATGTGACTGTGCCCTTCAGGGGACCTGGGTGACACCTGAGGACATCAGTGGCTGGCGTGACTGGGCCGCTCCTGCTGTGGAGTGGGTGGGGCCCAGGGAGCAAGGTCAGGAGAGGGGAGCAGGCCGCCCACTGCCCCCTGCTCGGGCCAGGCTGGGAAGGGAGCTGGCGAGTGGTCAGCAGCAACCCGGCTGCGTGGAAGCCAGCAGGTGGCCACTGGCCACCAATTAACCTTTAGAGACCGGCATTCTGACCCTCAGGCTCTATCCACAAAGACGCAGGCACGAAGCTGCCTAGAGAGGGGACTGCTGCAGTGCCACAGCGCACCTGTCCCCACAGTTCAGCAGCATCTTTCCAAGTCAGCGAGGGCACTGGACACGTCCATCTTCCGTGACACACATGTGCCTCGCTTGCTCATGCTGTCACTGACGGCCACATTCAACCACGAATGACACACACCACACGTACATGTCGCTAGAGAGTTCTGGGGTGACCTCACAGGTCCACTCCTAGCATTGGGTGCCCACTGGATGCCAGTCAGGCGTGACGCACGTTGCTGTCAGCACACAGGTGGCTTGTCCCCGATGGGCTGTGCCCTGCTGCCTCAACTGCACCCTCTGAGGCCAGGCTCCCCCTTCCAGCCCGGGCAGGGTGTGCTGGCCTCTGCGTTGCCAGCCACGTCTGCACCCTGCAGGCCACCTGTGTGCTCCTGTTTTTTATGCCAAGTCACTGAAGGGCGCGGGCTTGTTTCTGAGAGGGAGGGACCCAGGAGGGTGACCAGGAACCCTCTGTAAACATGGAAGCTGTGCTCCTGGACCCAGGTGAAGACACAGGGCTCATGGCTCATCTCTGTGGCTGTGCCTTCATTTGGGAACCTCAGGGGCTAACATGGGGTGGCTGTGGGGACACTCCTGATGACTCTAATTCCATAGGATGTGCAGATGTCCTGAAGACTGTTCTCTTGGGGAGGGGGCTCTGAGATATAAAGAAGGCCACTTGAACACCCCGGTGGCACTGAGAGTGTGGGTTAGGTCCTCCCACGGGACCTGGCGGGGGCCACGGGACCCTCTGACTTGTCCCTCCTGGTCTTCGATGCTCAGGCAGGAGGAGGGAAAGGAGCAGGGCAGAGAAGCCAGGAGCACGTGAAGGGCGGGAGGAGGGACAGAGGAGACTCTGGTACCTTGGAGCCGTGCCTGGCCAGAACCTCCCATTCACCACTGGTCAGAGCGATCTCCTCCTTAATGAGGCTTTTAAATTCATCTGAAAGGAAGGAAGGAAAAGAGGTGAAGGGAGCCAGGGCATCGGGACACGCACCAGGGACACACTCCCCACGGGGCTGCAGGGTCTGAGCAGAAGGTGGGGACCTGCCAGAGTGGTCAAGGGGACTGTGGGGCCAGTGCCTATTGGCGGATGGCAGGACCAGCCTTTCCCAAGAAAAGCCAGGACTCTGGAACTCGCTGTTCTAGAGCCTTCGAAGGGCGAGTGACTCTGGCCTTGTAGGGCTCCGCGGCCCCAGGCCAGGAAGCAAGTGGACGCGTAGTTGCTCTGCGGTTTTCTGGGTAGACGACGCCGCTGAGCTCTCCCTGGGAGGCGACACAGGACGGCTGTTGGCGCCAATAGAAAGGGACTGAGCTCGGGAGCAAGGGCTCACTTTTCTCCTGAAGCATTCTAGGCCTAAAAGACACTGGCACCCACACGTGGCGCGACAGGGACAAGGGTCCTGCACACAGTGGCACAGGAGGAGTTGAGGCCAACTCTCGGGGACAGGGGCTCCCTCCCTCAGCCTCCCCGGCTGGTCCTGCCATGCTGGCCTGCTGAGGCCCACGGTCACTGGCCTGCTGAGGCCCACAGTTAGTGGGGTGAGTTGTGCTTGGCTCCCTCTGGGGCCAGTCAGCCGGGGTCCCTCTCCCGATGCCCACAGGGCCTGGGCACTGCTCGCCTGGCTGGCCCTCTGCTCACTCCCGCCCGTGGAGCCTCCTGAGGCACTAGGCTCCTGCTGACCGACCCTCCCTGTCCGCCTTCACCCAGATGCCCACCTGCTCCTCCTCAGGTTCCCAGGCTCCTCCTGAGCCCTGCCCTCCCGCGGGCCACCAGGCCTCCCCAGTCCCCTGCAGGCACTCACTCCTGCTGATTAAACATTACTAAGGTACAGGTGCTCAGCACCCTGTCACCATCCAGCAGGCATCTGCCCCATGACAGGAGGCAGGAGCTGGGGACCCACAGGTGTAGCTCCAGAGCAGGGTGGCCATGCAGACCTGGGCCCGAGGTCACCAAGGCACTGCAGCACACTGGAGAGTCCGGGGCCCCCACGGAGCAGCCACTGCCCCTCCACCAGTGACCACTGGGCATAGAGTTGCAGCTCTCAGACTGCCAGGCCCCCAGGGGGCTGCAGGTACAGGTGCCCAGTGCCTGGGCAGGGCCGGGCCAGCCGGCCAGGCCTTAGTGGCTCACCAACCTCAGGCCTGCGCGGTAGAGCCGTCCATCCTGGCACCAGTCCCCTGGCTCCAGCGTGCTGGCTGCCATGCTCTCAGGCCGCCCCTGCACTGGACGGTGCTCAGGGCATTTGTGGGCAGGGCTCTAAACTGTGGAGCTCACACATGTCCGGGAACATGGGGCTCCTGGCCAGGAGTGGGTGGAGGCGGGTGCTGCTCACACCCACAGCGCCCAGGGATCCAGCCCAGAGTCCCCCTGCCCTGACTCTGCGGAAGCCTGGGGTGTGTCCTGCAGGGGCTGCGACACCTGTGCTCCCCTTTGCCTGCTCCGCGCCCCTAGGTGTCACCCACACAGCAACTCTGCCATCGGCACCTCATCTCAAGCAGGTCTGCATCCTAAAACAGCCCCTCAGTCTCTCGGTGTCAGCCTGGAACCCTGCGGGCTTGGGGGCCTCCACACCACGCGCTCCCACTCAGCTGCAATGGGTGCAGGAACCCCAGGTGCCGCCGCCTCACTCGCCCTCGGCCTGCGCCACGGAGACCAGGACTCACTTCACACCCGTGTAAGTGAGACCAGCGACTTCCTGCTTCCTGTAGGGTCCAAGTCCGAGTCCTTCACAGGGCCCTGCATGGCTGCCCTGTCCCCTCTGCCTCCCCTCCTCCCTGTGCCTCCAACACACCAGGCTTATCCTGCCCCCGGGCCTTTGCAGGCCGTGCCCTCTGCCTGCAGTGTGCTGTATGCCTATCAGCTCTCCAGTCTCCGCTCGGTGGCATGCCATCTGGAGACATCCTCCTGAGCCCCTTCTAGAAAGAAGCCCCTCACTCTGCAGCATTTGCCTCTCCACTCGCCTTCCTCCCGAGGCAGGATCTTTCCTTGTTCTTGGATTATTGCTTTATCTTTCACTAGAACCTTCTAAACACCAAGGAGCGTCTTGCCTCTTCATACGACTGTACCGGGGGCACCTGGAGCAGGGGCCAGCCACTTCCACAGGGAGCCAGAGAGCAACCACCTGAGGTTCTGTGAGCCGCTGCTGCTCGACACTGCCCCCGTGACCCAGAAGCAGCCGCAGGCCACCCAACGAGTGGGCCTGGCCATGTGCCAATAAAACTCTATGAAGCAAGTGGCAGATGGGACGTGGCCCGCAGCCCGCGTTCCCACCCCTGGTCATTGAAAGGGCTGGTCACAGAGCGCTCCACAGATGCTGCTGGCAGAATAGGCGGCGGCTTCCGTCACGGCCCCTGATGATCACAAGGGCCCGCGGGAGGCTGCTCCAGTGCCTGCCCTGGGGACCCACTCTGTCAGGGCCACCAGGGACAGATGGGGCACTGGCCACCACGACAACCGGGAGCCAGGCTCTGCTCACCTTCACCAGGGCTGAGGGGCTGGGTCCAGTCATAGCCGTTGGACTTGAGGATGGCGGTGACTTTGTACAGGTGGCAGAAGCCAGTCTTGCACTCATTGGCTCGGAGGAAGCAGAACTCCTCGGTGCCCTCAGGCTGAGGGAAGGGGTAGAAGATGTCGTGCACCTGTGTGGCAGAGGGGGCGTCAGGAGAGAGGAGGCTGGCTCTGCAGCTGGCCAGCCTCCCGGACTCCCTCGCTGGCTGGGGACGGCCCGGCTATGAGCCCTTCTCCACGTGGGGCCCGCCCAGGAGGCCACGCGCAGCCCCAGCCCCCCTTACATTGATCCAGACGTTGGTGACCTCCTCGTACACCACGTGTGGCTGCACGTCCTGGGGGACCGCTCTGGCGAAGGCCAGCCGCTGCTCTTCGCTCTCAGGGGTCGGGATGAACAGGGCAGGCGGGAGGAGGACCAGCTGGAGTCGCTGCTGCGGCCGGTCCAGGAACATGGCCCAGGCGCTGGGAGGGGAGAGGAGGGCGGCGGGGGCCTCAGAGGCTGTGGGCAGTGCAGCAGCGCCGTCCCCAGCAGTGGGCCAAGCCCCGCCTCCCTGGTGTCCCTGGCCTGCGCTTGGCCCAGTCCCCGAGTTGGGGCTCAGTGGCACGGCCGGCCAGACCCCAGCACCAGAGGGAACGGCCCTAGGCCCTGGGTCTTGGGCACCATTCACAAACGGGCCTGCTTCCTTCTTGGCCAGCCCAGCCCCCAGGTCCACCTCACTCCAGTCGGCCTCAAGTGGACCTCTCAAAACCTGCCCTGTGGGGTGGGGCTGCTCCACACAGGCCTCGGGGACGGCAGGAAAGAGCACAGGACGTCCCGGCCTGACCGGAGGCAGCCCGCGGGCTGGGCCTGCCATCTGCCGAGAAGGACCAGGGGAAGCCCGCAGCATCAGGGAACAGGGACAGAGAGGGACAGAGCCAGCTCTGCAGGCCATGCGGGAGCTTTCGTTGCTGCCCGCTCACGGCCACAGCAACCTGGGAGGAGTGGGCGGGCAGTGTGGGCCACGCCACTGCAGGCGGGGGGACGCGCCCCTCACAGGAGACGAGGCTCGTCTCCCCCTCACTTAGAAGCACACAGGGCCACTGTGCCCACAGCTGAAGGAACGGCGAGCTGGCCGCGGCCTCTGGGTGGAGGTTGCAGGAAGTGGGAAGGGGAGCAAGGGGAGCGCCCCTACTTTGTGACTCGGAACTGAGCATGGAACCCGGGGTGCTGTACCAGGGGCCACAATCCCAGTCCTTTTTATTTTACTTTGAGACAGGGTCTTGCTAAGTTGCTTAGGGCCTCACTAAGTGGATCAGCTGGCTTGAACTTGGGATCCTCTTGCCTCAACCTCCCAAGCTGCTGGGATGACAGGTGCGTCACCACGTCTGGGTATGATTTGGTGTTTCTTACAACTAGGGAACTTGGGCCCCCTGCAATTACCTCTGACCCCCAAAATGTCCTAGTTCCACCAACACTGGAGTGAATGACTCAGAGTGTCCTGCCTCTGACAGGCTGGGGGAGGCATCTCTGGGAACAAGTGGGCAGGACACGGTCACCTGCGCTGGTCCTATCACCCCAAGACCCGTGGGCAGTCGGAGCAGTGGTTTTTGCAGCCCACCCGTCATTCCCAGCCCCCACTCTGAATCCCTCAGGTCACCTGACGCAGAGACACTCACTACTTGCCGTCCCGGGTCCACCCAGCCCTGGCGATGTACTCCACCTTGGGGAACAGCGAGCTGAAGGGCTGCACCAGCTCCTTCCCACGAGCCAACACGATCTAGGGAGACAGACGTGGGTCACACTCTGCCTGTCCCCATACCACCTGAGGAGATGGCGGCCATGTGGGGTTAGAGCGAGTTCCCTGCTCTGGGATGTGGTCACGGCAGGTGTCCCCGAGTCAGGATGTGCTCACACTGAACAGACCAAGCCAGATCCAGTGTACGTGGTACCCATGACGGAAAAACAGGGGGCGGACACACACCATGGGGCCGTCTTGTGGTGTCGCAGGAGAAGATGGCCACCTGCGACCCCAGGAGACTGGCACACTTTCCCTCAGGGCCACACCCTCACTCTGGCCTCCTGCTCTTTGACCTGCCCATTCTGTGGCAGTGGGGACAACAGTCCCAGCAGATTCCACAGTCATTCGACACAGCCTCCGAGACAGGGTCCCCCCAGAGCACCCTGCTGGTTCTGGGGACCAAGCAGTCTGTTCTGGGCAGTTCCTGCAGATCCAGGGGTCTTGAGCAAGCAGGCCTCGGAGGGGAGGAGGCTGGCGGCCCAGAGCCCTAACCCGTGGGGCAGGGCCATGCCTGCTGACCGCCTGGCTCAACTGGCGCACCCGGTGCAGGCCTCAGGACTGTGTGTCATGGAGAGCAAGTGACCATTGAGAACCATCAAGTGAACGGACTCCTGTGGACCCCATGAGGTCACTCATGGCAGATCTGCCTGAAATCCCTGGCACGTCTGGGCAAGAGCGTGAACAAGGCTTGCTGAGGGCCTGATCCTGCCTGAGAACCAGCCCCGAGTTGGGGAAAGACCTCATTTCTGCAAAAGCACACGAGTGTCCCCAGCTTGTCTGAGCTCTCTGGATGCCTGGCATGTCCTCTGGACTCCTGGAGTGCCCACCTCCGGCCCCTGCTTTGTCCCACGTGAGGTGTTGAGTTTCCAGGAGCCCCGTGTCGGGGCGCCCGCAGCTCATGACTCGCAGAAGACCCCAGGGCAGGGTGGGGCTGGGTGGGAGGGCGCTCAGCTCTGGGCTGAGGGGCCTTGTGCCTGGCCCTGGCATGGTCCTGAGGCCCCACATGATGACCTGCGGGTGACAGGACCCTCACACCCGATGCTGATGCTATTTCGGAAGGTCCTAGGACACTGCGCATCCCACGAAGCCCCTGGGTCCACAGAATGACCCGTGGGTTCTGCCCAAGGGCTGGGGGGGGGAACCTGCCTGCCTGACTCGCCCCCAGTGGAGCTCCCTTTCTGAGGTCAGCTCTGTGGAACCACAGCACAGCAGGGCCCTTCTGCTCCTGCCGCGGGACCCTCTACCCACTCGCTCACGGCACTGGCACAGCAGCGAACGCACAGCCGCCCGGGGACAGGCGGGCTCTGCAATCCCAAGCTCCAAGAGAAGGGTGGCCGCGGCTGGCCGGAGTGGCAACTCGGGGCCTGGAAGCCCAGGGGAGGCGGCAAGCAGACCCTGGTCCCACCCCGTCTTCCAGCCCCTTCCCGCTTCATCCTGAGGCCACCCAAGGCGGCGCCAGCCTCACCTTGCCCTGACCATCCGTCTGGAACTCGGCCAGCTTCAGGGCGATCTTGGGATTCTTGCTGCCTGTGAGAAGGAGAGTGAGCCGAGCACACACGGGTGTCCCCAGTGTGCGCGAGTGTTGCTGAACAGGCCAAGGAGGCAGGGCCACACCCACAGGGAGGTGGACAGCTGGCACAGTGGGGGCCAGGGGTGGGGAGAAGCCAGGGTCCAGAGGTCTGCCAGCAAGATGTCCGTTCCTGGCACAGGCACAAAGTCCCTTAGGCGGACCTTCTGACTTAGTGCCTGGCTCATTCTCTTGACAGGGATGTGACATCTGACTATTGCTTAAGAGCAGAGACCAGCCTGGCACGGTGGCCACGCCTGTCGTCCCAGCAACTCAAGAGGCTGAGGCAGGAGGATGTCAAGTTCAAGGCCAGCCTGGGCAACTTAGCAAGACCCCGTCTCAAAATAAAAAAGGCATCGGGCAGCTCAGTGGTACCGAACACAAACAGAGGCTCAGGCCAGCCCCTGTGTCGGGGGGGCGGGGGGCATCCACCAAGCTGATGCACCCTGCCAAAGGGTCACAGTTGGCCTAAGAGGATAGGACGTGGCACCATGACACCCTGACAATGCAACAGGGGCAGGTCTTCTCCAGTCAGCCAGGCGAGCCCTCAGGAGGCAGGCGGCCACCACTGGGACAGACAGGCCCTTCCAGAGGGCCGCAGCTCAGGGCCCAGGAGAAGGGCCAGGCCATGGCAGAGGGCAACGCTGCCCTTTCCCAGACAGATGGCAAATTTGGTCTCTGGCACTTGTCACTCTAGAACCAGGGCAGGGTGACATCTCGGAGCCTTCACTTCCCTATCTGTTAGGCCAGGAAGAGACCAACGGTCCCAGGTGGGACTGGAGCAAGTGGCGCAGAGGCTCCGTGTGCATAGCTGTGGGCAGGTGGGTACAGGAGCAGGCAGTGGTGCCCTCAAAGCTTTCCAGGGTGGCCGCCATCCGCAGCCTTAGCCGGGCTCCCAGCTGGCTCTGGGCCACACCCCAGTAGGTACCTGGTTTTGCTCTAGAGGTGACCTGGCTCAACAAGAACATCGGCACTACCAAGGGGCCAAAAAGGGAAGAGGCCAGGGCAGAGGCAGACACAGCCCAAGGGGCCACGGGGTGTGGGAGGGGACCCCACAGCCCTGTTGGCAGAAGACCAAAACCCGCCGCGACTCCTGGATTTAACGGCTAAATGTCCTTTCTGAAGGCGAAAGAGGACTACAGGACAGACGGCACTCAGGTATGTAGGACCACAGGCATTCCATGTGACAGGAAGGTGACATGCAATTCAAATTTGAACTGTCTATAAAACAGATGGCTGTAAACATGGATCTTGTTTTTAAGCGACGGGGCCTTGTTATGCTGCCCAGGCTGGCCTTGGACTCCTGGGGTCCAGCCATCTTCCTGGCTAGGCCTCCTGAGTGGGTGGCCAACAGGGCACCACTGCGCTGGCCTCCCATGGCTGCTGCAGAGCCCTGACTGTGGGGCAGCCTGAGGGGTGAGCAGCTTGGCCTCCACTCTCGACCCCACCCAGGGGCAGCCTCCTGACCCAGAGCCCCGTGACAAGCCTGGGGAGGCCGGGCTGGGATGGACGGGGACCTTCCCGTGCACGTTGGTTCCCAGAGGCCCGGGGGCAGCACTCGCCTGTCCTGGGGTAGCGGTAGGAGTCCGTCTTCCGCTCCTCCAAGGCAGGAGAGGGGACATGGATGACTTCCACCTCCGACTCGTCCACTTCCTCATACAGTATGCGCAGCGTCTTGAGGCCTTCTGACCCTGAGGGCACAGCAGGCTGCCAAGGGTGCGGGGACATCCCTGCTGCCACCCATCCCTGCTGCATGCGGGCTCTGTGGTGCCACGGGGCTTCACCCAGGGCACTCCAGACACACCCCAGTCCAGCTCCTCTCTGGGCCTGACTTTCCCGATGGTAACACAAACAGAGCCGTTCCCAGCACAAAATGGCCCAGAGTGTGAAGGCCCGACTGCACCCCGAAAATCCCTGCACTGAATCCCAGCACCTCAGAACTCACAGGTGTGTGGAGACCAGGCCTTTAAAAAAGGGACGAGGGTAAAAGGAGATGAAGGGCAGCCCTGGCCCATGACTGCTGGGAGGCCCTGCTGAGGCGGTGCACGGACACGGCACCTACCTTCCCAGGTGGCCGTAGGACACCACCAGCAGCCTGTGAAGCGGTCGAACTCCTCCTGGATGACGAAGGTGGCAACGCCAGCAGACTTGGGGTCGTCCAGGACATTGGACAAACCTGGGGGAGAGACCACAGATGAGACCACTCAGGTGGCCTCACACACCATGCTTTCCATGTGGACGCAGGGGGCCTCCAGGGCACTGCAGGGTGCTGACGAGATCCCTGGCAGCACCCACTCCACACCAGAAGCACCTCCTCCAGAAGCCATGCCTGTGGGTTCAGCAGAGGGGCCTGGGGGTGGGGACACAGGCACCTGCGTGGCAAGTCACGGTGCAGACCCTTAGGACAGCGAGGGTGAGCCCCGCGTGCGTGGGGGCTGCTGCAGCAGTGCCCGCTGGGCTGTGGGCCGGTGCCACGGAGGGCTCCCTTCTGCAGACGGAAGCTGCAGGCCGGGCAGGCACAGAGCCAGGGGGCAAGGCGGTGCCTGGGGTGTGCGAGAGGGAGAGGCGAGGCCCGGGGTGAGCCGGAGGCAGGGCTGTCTGGAAGGTGGCAGGCTGCTAGGCTGCTGTCCCAGGAGGGCCGACAGGTCCTCACCCCTGTGGCAAAAGGTCAGTCGCCGCTCCTCGCCCGTCTCGATGTTGGCCACCCATAGGTCGCTGTTGTTGATGAAGGAGAAGAAGGCAGGGTCTGCGGGGCAGATCTTGGGGTCCATCCGGGGCCCCGAGCACTGGGTCTTGATCTCCAGGGGCTTCATGGGGGACACCTGAGGACAGAGAGGCCGGTTGAGGGAGGGGCCCCAGCAGCCCTGCCTTCCTGGCCAGGCCGGGGCTCACCATGAAGCCGTTCTTGCCGCCGTCCCGGCAGTGGAAGAGGCTGTTGCTGGCCTGGAAGAGGAAGAGGCCGCTCTCGCTGTGGAAGTCGTAGGAGGTGATGCCGAAGACGCCCAGGCGCTTCCGCTCCCGCAGCAGCTCCTCCTCCCGTGAGTACACCCCGTGGTGGGGCGTGGCCTGGGGGACACACAGAAACCTGGTGGCCTGGGCCCGCCTGCAAGGCCACGCCGGCGAGGGCTCTGCATGCTGGGCATAGCAGGTGGGCAGAGCCTGGACCTGTGGCCCAAGGGGCAAGGCAGTCTGGCCTGGTGCACTAGCGACTGCGCGGCAGTGGCAGAGGGCCACTTAAACCCCCTGCCACGGAGTCTCTCCAGGCAATCCTGTCCCAGCCACTGGGCACTCTTCCCTGGTGCCCACTGCCACTCCTGCAGCCCCTCCCACCAAGAGCATTCCATCAAAACCCCCGAACCCTAAATATCCACACCATCTGCAAGAGTTGGGGGAGCAGGGATTCAAGCCTGGCCACTGAGCGCCTGGCCCAGGCCCGGCAGGGAGCCCTCTCGCACAGCACACAGCGTGGTGACACCTGCAGACCAGGGCCCTGTGGCGGCCGAAGCGAAGACATGAATTTTTTTAAAGCAGACTGGGCCAGGGGGTGGCTCAGGGGTACAGCGCGTGCCAGGTGTGCACAGAAGCCCTGTGCTTCATCCCCAGCCCCTCAAAGCTCAGTAAAATAAAGGAGAAGCAGAAGAACCATCAGCACTGTGTGGAACGCAAAGTGGTTCAGCTGGGCACTGGGGACAAAGGGGGGACAAGCCACAGGGAGGCAGGCTCTGGGATGCATGGAGCTGCAGCATGCTCTGCCCGGCCCCGTGTGAAGCAACGTGGACACAAGAGGCCCTCCCCACCTGAGCTGCACCCACTCGCAAGCCGACTCCATGGAGGGCCACCACCGCCCTCAGGACCGGCCCCGGGCCCCACATCTGGGAAGGCCACATCTGACGGCTTCCACCAGGGAGGCCTGCAGCTAGGACAGAGCCTGCTCTGGGCAGCCTGGGCCCCTCTGTGGCACACGGCCGGGCGGCATCATGCTGGGAAGACAGGGCTCTGCGGCAGGACACAGCCCACCTGGAAGTGGTCCAGCATCTGCTTCCAGGACAGCAGCAGCAGGGCCTCCTTGCGCACCTTCTTGGGGATCTCCGAGTAGAGGAGGGAGTTCTCCCGGCTGCCGTAGGGCATCCCTGCAGGCACAGCACAACGGCCTGCATGAGCACCCAGCAGGCGGGCAGGGCCTCCAGAGGGCTCCGGGTCCCTGCAGCTGGGTCCCACGGAGCACCCCTCCCCAGAGAGCCACAGGCCTGGGGTGTGATCGCTTCAGCGACAGGGTCTTCCTCCTCTGAGGCATCTGAGCTGAATATGGTGGCCACAATTACTGGAGAAATAGCCCATGGAAGAATAGGAAGGGAGCTGGGGATGCCAGACCTGGCTCCTGACGGCCCCTCTGCGAGGGGGAGGCTGGGAAGGAACCCACCCAGGGTGACAGCCAGGGAAAGCCTTTCTCACCACTCGGACAGCAGCCTCCTCAGGGGTGGGCTCTGCAGACTGCGGCTCCACCCCTCCCTGCCAAGAGCAAGTGACAGCCACAAATGTCCCCAGATGGGCCCAGTATTCCTTGAGGAATGGAATCTCCCCTGAGGAGAAGCACTGGTTCAATCTAACGCTCCTGTAGGTGACCAGGGACACGGCTGCCAAGGGAGGCTTCTGTGCAGGTGCATGAAGTACAGCCCACAGAGCCAGCCACACAATGTCTGTGTCACCCGAAGTCACCTGCAGTCCATCAGTTTTTCAAGTGCTGTGTCTCTGAGGCTGGGATGGGTCTTACTGTGGAAGGCACTAAGGACTTCTTTGAAGCAGATAAAATGAGGTCTTTCCTCAGTATCCTTGGGAGATTGGGCTCAGGACCCCCCAGGATTCCAAAATCTAGATGCTCCAGTCCCGCAGGTCAACAGCCCAGCACACACAGCACCTGCACACACCCTCCCGGACTTTCAGTTATTTCTGGGTGACTCAGATTACCTAATAAACGCTGTGTACACAGTTGTTACGTTGTATTGTTTAGAAAACAATAACAAGAAAATGAATGGCATTCAGTATAGATGCAATCTTTTTTCTGAAAAAAAAAAAAAAATTGTGTGTGGACTGGGGATCAAGCCCAAGAATGCTCTCCTACTGGGCCACACCCCCGTCCTTTTTATTCATTTTTGAGACAGGGTCTGACTGAGTGGCAGCTGGATAACAGATGTGGCTAGACCTGGGGCTGAGGAACCTGCAGACACAGGAGGAGGGTGCACCTGCCGCCTGGCCCCGTGGGATCCAGGACACCTCTGCCACAAGGCTGGGCACCAAGTTGGGCTTCTCCTTGTGTACACCTTCCAACAGCACAGGGTGTCCGGCGGTGGCCTGTGAACCTGCCCTAGCTAACGACGAATCACAGGACATCGGAGCTCCTTTCTCATCCTCTGAGTATCTGTTTTATCTCCCGTGTCCTGGGGACAGAGCCGGCAGGCTCCGCACTGGGTAGTACTCCGCCACTGAACCCAGCTCTGGCCCTGCATGTTCTTCGAGTTTCTGGGCAGAAAGACCCAGGCTGCTGCTACCCTCCTTCTCAGGACCTCCTCCTTCCCACGGGGTTCTGAGGGGAGAGAAGGCAGCCCGCCAGGCCCTCGGGGCTCAACGCCGAGGAGGGCATTCATCCTGGCAGGCTGCGCCCCGGGCGCACCTATGAAGGACAGCTAGGGGCAGACGAGCAACCCAAAGAAAAATAAGGAGACCTCTCCAGGGCTTCCTTTTAAAAGAGACCTGTGAAAAACGCAAAGTCAACTTTAGATGTGTGCGGGTGGAAACGATTGCGTGGAAGAAGGTGGAGGGCCTGAGTCCTGGGAGAGCGACTTGCTCTCTAAAGGCCTGAGTTTTATTTTTTGAACTATTTTAAGTGACAGGGTCTTACTTTGTTGCCCAGGCTGCCCCAAACCCCTGGGTGATCCAACCAGAATAGCTGGGACCACAGGTGTGCGCCATGCGCCATCACGCCTGGCCCGAGGCCCCGAGTCTGCGGGGACTCCCTGCTTTCCAGGAGCACCAGGCGAGTGGGGACCAGAACATGCGGAGTGTGACTGCACTGACACGAATGTCCAGAGCAGGGGACTCCACAGGAGGCTGAGGAGGGCTGGGGGAACATGGGGGTGAGTGCTGCGCACAGGCTTCTTCTGGGATGACAGAACACTCTGAACTAGACAGAGGTGACGTGTGTGCGATGCTGCAAACATACTGCGGAGAGCCACCAAGTCCCACAACTTGAAAAGTACAAGGCTGGGGACTGTGAGGCACAGCTCAGATCTCAAAAAGAAGCAACATAGGGGCAAGCCCAGCACGGTGGCCACGCCTGCCTTCCAGCAGCTCGGGAGGCTGAGGCAGGAGGATCATGAGTTCAAAGCCAGCCTCAGCAACTTAGTGAGGCCCTGTCTCAAAATTAAAGTTAAAAGGAGGGGCTGGGGCTGGGGCTGGGGCTGGGGCTGGGGCTGGGGCTGAGTGGCAGAGCGCTTGCCTAGCACACGTGAAGCACTGGGTTCCATCTTCTGCACCACATACAAATAAATAAAATAAAGATATTGTGTCCATCTACAATTAAAGAAATATTAAAAAAAAAAAAAGTTAAAAGCAAAAAGGGGCTTGGGATGTGACTCAATGGTTAAGCACCCCTGGGTTCTATCTCCCTGATACCAATAAATGAATAAATGAGTAAATGTATAGATGAAGCTCAGGGACCAATCATCCCCGGGTCCCCCCCAGTACTGGGGAAACACACACTCATGTGCGTGCACACACACATACACGTAAGAGAGCACACGGGGCAACAGGAAGGGCTGGGAGGGGCTGGGGGTGGTTTTCTAGAGAGCAGCCTGGGGACAGTCACCCACAGGGACCCTTAAGGAGAGCCTTCCAGTAGGAAGTCAAAGGTAAGGCCTCGCCGAGGACAAGACTCACCTCCCAGCACAGTGACGCCTGGCATCAAGGCAAAAGGTGGAGAGGGCTAAAGATAGCCGCTGACCCCTGTGGCCACTGTGCCTCCCCTTTTGCCAGTCCTGCCCACCCATCACCCACTGCCCCAGAGGCGTGGCAGGTGACACAGGACAGTGCAAACACTGCATCCAGTCACCGAGTGGCATGGCCTCACGGGCTGGCCTGGCAGGGCAGGGCACATGGCCAGAGGCAGGACAACCTTTCCTAGTCACAGGACCCCAGTCCTGGCTTTCTTTCCTACAGGAGTCCGAGACCTGCCCAGGGCCCTGAGACCTCCTCTTCCTAACAGAAGATGCTGTGGGATGGGGTGAGGGACTGGCCACAGAGGACAGCTGGAGTCCAGGCCCCAGGCCTCTCTGCCCATCTTCCTGCAGTAGGAGTGGGAAGGCGCCTGTCACTGGGCCACCCAGTTTGCACTGGGCTCCACCAGTCAGAACAGAGGGGCGCTCCCGGAGGGCCCCAGTGACTAGCTCTATGTGCCTCAGGTGGCAAACCTGGGCCTAAGGCAGGTCATGACTCAGGGCAGCAGACTGGGCCTGGCACCAAGACATGCCATCGACATGGGGGCCACGGGCAGCCTGAGAGCTTGGTGGTGAGTCACGTGGTCGGCTGCAGGATGCCGTCACCCCAACAGAGGCAGTAGATTCTGGGGTCTCTGCTAAGAGCACACCCTTGTCTGGAGCTGCCCCACCCACTGGCCGGGCTCTCAGCAGCCCCAGGCTGTGGGTCCCGCCCACCTGGACACAGGCTGCAGGTGACTGGACAGTGGACCTAGGCTCAGCCAATCTGGTCCTTCCTCCATTCCTGGGGTACACTGGCGCCCTGGAGCTGTGGGGATGCATGGCAGGAGACCTGGGTGGCAGGGGCCTGATCAGAGGTAGGCACATGGTGCCATACCTGGGTTCCAAAAGTCTCCTGGTGCACTTCCTGAGGCGGCTGGGCCTTGAGCCCTGGGCACCATGAGACATCCCATCTCCCCCAGGAGATGCCCCCTGCAGCTTGGACCAGTTCAGAGGGTTCTGTCCCTTCTCGCAGCTCTGGAGGCTGAACAGTGGCCCCCAAACCCAGATGTACCCGTCCTGGGGCCTAGACATGAATGCCTTCACTTGTGGTGAAAATGGGTTTTGCAACCACGGACAGACGGAGGCTTGTGGGCTGGGGATCGTCCTGGGGGGCCTGCTGTCAGCACATGTCCTTATTTTGGGGTTTGTTTGGTTTTGGTACCAGGAATAGAACCCAGGGGCACTTAACCACCGAGCCACATCCCAGCCCTTTTTATTTTACTTAGAGACAGGGTCTCGCTGAGTTACTCAGGGTCTAAGTTGCTGAGGCTGGCTTTGAACTCGAGATCCTCCTGCCTCAGCCTCCTGAGCCCAGCTATCAGGTGTCCTTTTAAGAGGGAGGCAGAAGGGAATCCCAGCAGGACAGAAGAGAAGAAATCAATGTGACCGTGAAGGCAGAGAATAGCGAGATGTGGCTACAAGCCAAGGGACACTGGCAGCCACTAAAGCTGGAAGAGGCAGTGAACACATGTCCCCTAGAGCCTCTGGAGGGAGCGCGGTGCCCCACACCTCAGTTTCAGCCTGTGCAACCCCACGCAGACTTCCGGCCTCCTAACTGGTGAGGTGACTTTTCACTCTCTCACTGAGTTGTGGGAGGCCACCATCTCAGGGCAGCCGCAGGAACCTCGCTGAGCGCCCTGAGCAAGGGGCAAGAGCACAAGCACAAGCCCAGGGCCCAGGACTGTATGGGCACATGGGGTGGGTGCCGAGGGGCAAACGGCAAACCAGGGGAGGTCGCGGACCGCCAGCTCCCTGGTCTGGGCACCCTCCGCAGCTCCCTCTTGGGTGAGTGACACTTGGAGGTTTCCCGTCCTAACTTCCAGACTAGCGCTGGTAAACGCTTCTCTGCAAAGGGCCAGGTAGTGAACTCTCAGCTTTAGGGCTGCGAGATCTCCCATTCACGGTGCTGATGCAGCTCAAAGCCCCATGGCCCTCAGGCGAAGGTCTGCAGAGCCCCGCTCCTGGCCACGCCCCTCTTGGCTCTGTTCCCACCACAGGCCTGTCTGAGGGACTGCACCAGTGTCCATCAGGGTCTCTGTCACGAGCATGTGCTCAGCCCCGGGCAGAGGACGGCAGTGACTCGCTCCTTCTTTCGTTCCAGTACCGACTGAGGCCCAGGCACGAGTGGGCGTGGTCTCAGGGATCCCCGGGTCAAGAGCATGGGCCTAGAGAATAACCCCGCTCCTGCTGAAGCCGGGCTCTCAAACTGGAGGCGGTTTTGCTCGGCATCTTGCAGTGCCCAGGGCATTGCCCACACGGAGCAATCTGACCTGGTGTCCACAGTGGCAGACTGAGAAGCCCTGCCATCGGTCAGCAGCCATGTGCCACCAGGCCTGGCTGATTCCTTCAAGGGCCTCCTCCTTATATGCCCTTCAGGCAAAGTAGGGTGACATCCATTCATTCTACACGTATTTCCGGTCCCCTACAGGAGGCAGCTCTGGCCTGCCTGCAGGGGACCACGAGTCTGGTCAGTGCTGAGGGTCTGGTGGACAGACAGCCTGACGGAGAAAGTGTGCTCACAAGGCACATGCCCAGAGAGGACGCCACCAAGCGTGAGCACCCACTTCTAGGAATCTGAGGCGGGTGGCAAACATGCAGCAAGCCACCCATGAACTACTGGCGGTGACACAAGCCACCTGCCTCTCCGTGAGCCTGAGGATCCTTCACAACACATCCCTACACAGCGAGCTCCCACTGAAGTCCGCCACCTCCCACAGGGGATCTCTGTGCGCTGTCCTGTTTCTTGTGCCCCACGCAGCCTGGGCCAGGGGCCTGGGAAGAGGCCTAGCTGACCGTGTGGAAACAATTTCCAGGCTCCGAGCCACCAGTGTCTGGCAGTGCAGATGGGCAAGGCCAGCGCTCGGCCCCATGGCTGGCCAGCCCTCGTGGGGGTGCGTCCTCCTCCCCTCGCCCCTGCCCCAGGCTCTCCTAATGACAGGGTGCCATCTGTGGGTGCCACGGCCTGTGGGACTATGTCCCCACAGCAGGCCCACCACATGCACTTTGTAAACACAGGTCCTCTGAGCAGGCGCGGTGACAACTGCCCTGAGGCCTGCCAGTTCAGGGCAGCCCGGTGTCCGGGCAGGCTTACCCAGGTAGTAGAGGCGGTGGGAGTGGGGGCCCGACTCGTCTGCCTTCTGCACAAACTGGAAGTCGTGCGGGGCCTTGTTGACAATGAGGCCCGAGTACTTGCGGCTGCCGTGGATGATGCTGCGGAGCCCGTCCCACGAGTGCTTCTGCACCTGGAAGCGGGCTGCAGGGTCGTCCATGTCACCCGCGTCGGCCCGCTCCGTCACCGGGGCCCCGCAGGACATCCTCTCAGCTCCCTCGGAATGCAGTGACAAGCTGCGAGGAAAGAGGGACCGGTGCACGGGCTGAGGAGGGAGGGCTGTCTGGCTTTCAAACTGTCCCCTTGGCAGCAGGTCCCACCCCTGTGCGACCTCCCTGTCCCCCTAAATTGGTCTCAAAGTGTTCTCCTCCTCTCCACCCCGCTGCTCTGGGATCCGAGGCAGTCACCCCTGGCCGAAAGGCTGGAGCCACCTCTGCCTGGGACCCCACAGCCGCAGCTCCCGGCTCCCGGGGGGAAGGCAGTCCCCAGGCTGGGCAGAGCTGGGGCCCACCCCCGGCCCCAAGAAGCATACACAATGCACCCCTGTAACCCGCATGCAGTCTTCACCACGCCCTCAAGGCTGCCGTCGGAGCCCCACCGGCTCTCGCAGCCCACCCCCTTCTCAGCCCCCGGCCCCCCAGGCCTGCGCCTCTGTGGCCTCTGCCTAGAGCACTGCTTCCTCTTCGCCTGACCGACTTCTAACACATCTCCTCGCTTAGAGGCTTGGCAGGTCCTCAGAAACCTTCTGCAGCCATCGTCCATCCCATCTCTGGGACTTTCTCAGGCCACCTAGCTGTCCCCGCCCTCAAGCATTTGTCACTGTAGTTACTTGCTGCATGCCTGTCCCCCCACATTGGCTGTGTCTCAGGCCCTGACGGGGGACCTGGCGCCCCCGCCGTGCGAAGGCTGCAAGGAGGCGGTCTCGGTCAGGGAATCCAGGCCTGTGGGTGAGGGGCAGTGCTTGCCTGTCACCTGCAGGGGACACCCAGACCTCCTGAGAGTGACAGGGAACTCGGCCAGTCGTCACTCAGGTGAGAGTGAACGAGCACCTCCTCCCACAGGGCACCCCACTGTCCCCCACCAGGTCTGGAGGAGCCGCGGCCCTCCCCCTCACGCCGGCTCAGCACATGCTGCTGGACTGGGCTGGACCAGAGAGGCAAATATTTGTTTTAAGGTAATCCAAACACCCAGTCGAGCTGACCCAGTTCTAAAGGCCCCAGCGTGGCCTGGCGAGGACAGTGGAGGCGGCCTGGCTTCCCTCGGCAGCACCCCAGCGCCAGCCCCGCACACTCCACCCGCAGGGGTCGGCAGCAGTGGCTCCTGCAGCAGCAACAGAAACTGCAGCTGCTGCTCAGAGGAGGGAAGGCAGGGCAGAAGGGTGGCCCTGACCTGGTCCAGCCCGATTCCCAAAGACCGTCCCTGGCCAAGAAGAGACCCTGCAGAGCCACCAGCACAGGAGACAGACACGCAGGTGTCACTGAGCACCTCTGAAGGTCCCCTCGCTCAGGTCTGCAACACCGGATGTGCGGAGGGGAGCCAGAGGCTGGAGGGGCAAAGGCTCACTGCCAGTCGGAGCTGAGGACGTGAGACAAAGGCGTCCACCAAGCAGGCATCGAGCAGGCATCGCAGGGAGAGTCCTGGAGCCGGGGTGTCCTGGGCCCAGCCCCACAGGGCAGGTGGACACTGCAGGAGGCTCAGGCAGGCAGCTGAGGCCACCCAGAGGTGGTGGCTTCCGAGCATCATTTGCTGAGATGGACCCCAGAGGCCCCCCGACCCCCGCCAGCTTGACCCCTAACGAAGGACAGGGAGGACTGCTTCCCTGGCTTAACCCTCTGTTGGCTGAGGTCCAGGCACAGCAGAGCCAGCCGCTGCCCCAGCTCCGGCCAGGAGCGGTTGGTTGGTCCAGCAGCTCCTAGGTGCTCTGAAGACTCAGGCAGAGGCCGCCAGCCCGGGCAGGGCCCTTGGGTCAAACAAGCCGAGCCCTGGGCGGATGGGTGCCTTGCTGTGGGTCACACACAGGAGGTTCTGGTCCACAGCAGCACTGCGGTCCACCTCCAGGGCAGCAGGGAGCCGCAGGCAGTGACAGGCGGGGCCCAGGACCCACAAGGTCCCGCATGCTGCTGGCAATGAGCCCAGAAAACCCAGCCAGGGGAACTGCTTTGACTGGCTTAGCATCCCCTCCCCACGGTGTGCCACCCTCGTTCAAGCCTTGCCCCGGGAGGGAAAAAACATCACAATCTTCAGATCTCCCCAAGGGGACCCCACAGGCTGGGAGCCCAGCAGAAGCACTTCAGAAATCACATGGCTTATTTTCGTAGCAAAGAACCATCAAGCCTTATCTTGCCTCCGATCACCGCAGAGAGCCCAGGAAGCAAAGAAACGATCCAGGAGCTGAGAAATGAAACGAGACATCGGGAGGAACGCCTAGGAATCTTCGAGACGTGACTAGAACCTTCTAGCTGGAGCCCAGCCTACCACTAGCCCCTCTGCTATCCAGGCCAAGGCAGGGACGGCACCAGCCAGGGACGGCAGAGGTGAGGAAGCATGTCCTCCTCCACCCCTGCCCTGTGCTCTCCAGTGAGGAGTTTACACAGCTGGGAGAGGGAAGTGTGTTCCAAGCCACTTAGCCCAGGCCACCTACTCTCCTCCCGCCAACCAGCAGGGCGTCTTCTCAACCTGTCACCAGCACATAGCTTCAAACACGCAGGGCACTGTCAAGGTGGGGCTGGAGTTCTGTGGCCTCCACCTACACTGGTGCTTCAAGGGTGGGGACCAGCTGCTCCTGTGTCCACCAGAGACCCAAGAGGGCCACGATGAGGGAGGAGGGAAGAAGCAATAAGAAACCGTGGACTCCAAGCACCGGCTGCAGCTCTCGGTGCCCAGAAAGCGATAAGGCAGAGCCCAGCAGGGCACTCAGGAGGGCAGCCAGGGGGTGGGGTCCCACCACAATGCCCTGGGGACAAGCCACCAAGGGACTGGAGCAACTGGCCCAGGCCATGCTTTGTCCTGCTGAGTGGGGCGGCTGGGGACAGTACTGTACTCGGTCCCACTCAGGCCTTCAGCTTTCAGTGGGCCTGCAGCCTACGCCCACAGGACACGGAGCCCATGCAGAAGGTCATCTGCCACCAGCCACTGGACCCCCAGTGAATTTATCCTCTAGACACCGGTGCTCCCCTTTCTAGAATTTGCATCTGGGGAAGTCACCGCCCTTTATCCTCCTGCTCCCCAAAAGGACACATGCTCCACGCACTAGGAGCCAGTGCCTGGAGCAGGTGCTGGGCGAGGAGCTACCGCAGGCCCTACAGCGCACACCGAGCCCTGAGGCGGGGGATCCCCTGGGCCGTGAGGGCATGGTGAAGTGCACGGTAAGCTGGGGAGCTGGACTCGGGGAGCAGTGAACTTCTGGGGCAAACCAGGGGCTCTGAGAGGCTGAAAGGCCTGTCCCTGTCACTCAGGAAAGGAGGGGAGCAGAGCCCAGGCCTGTCAGGCTCCACCACCCTGCAGCCTGGCCACCAGTTCTCTCCGGTGAGTCTGTCCCCAGCAGAGCTCATCGGTGTGTGGGGACACTTTTGGTCTTGGTGACTGGGCAAGAAGTTGGCATCAAGTGGGTGAAGGCCAGGGAAGCCACTCTACACCCGAAGCACCCAGGGCACCCACCTGACCACACCACGCCCTGCTGCTTCAGCAGGTCTGGGGAAACGCCTTGGGCTGCTGAGAATCTGGGGGCCCCCTACGCCCATCCGGAGCCCCAAGGCCACCTTACCTTCTCCAGCCTTCCGAGTTTTCGTTGTCCAGACGCAACTTCTTCACCTTCCGCATTAACTGCTCGCTGACCTCGGGAGGGTGGGGCCTGCATGGCAGAGGACATGTCATGAGCAGCACGGTGGGCAGAGAGCACCTCCCAGGCTGGGGGACACCTGATGCCAGGGGAATCCCAGGCTGTGGTGGCTTCAGGCCCTGCCCTGAAGAGCAAGAGGAAGCCGGCGCCTCCCTGAGCTGCGTCTTCTTGGCCAGTCACCCCAGGGAGTGAGCTCCCCGCCTCGCCGTGGGATGCCCGCACCAGCCTGGCACTCTGCCAGCCAGCAAGGAGTCCTTGCCAGCTGCAGGCCCTTGACCTGGGACCAGAACTGTTATTTTCTTTGTAACTTAGTGGAAAACATCCTTAGTGTTTCCGACGACTCTAAAGATGCTATTTGAGGGGCACTGGCCAGAAGCAGACTTCCTGTCCCAAATCCCTGACTGTGGCCACTCCTGAAGGCCTTCATGGCTCCTCCTTTCAGTCCCTGACCATGACGCCCATCACGCTGATCCCCTCACTGTCCTCAAAGCACCAGATGCCCCCACTCCTTGCAGTGGCCAGGCCCTCTGCTGGGACAGCCTCCCATGGTTGCTGTGTGACACGTTCATTCTCATCCTTGAGGCCCCAAACCACCACAAATGCCATCCTTTCTGAGACTCGATCCACACTGGCCACCTGGCCACACCATCACCATATCTGCGCAAGAATGCTGGCCCAACAGGGCTGGGCTGGGGCTCAGGGGCAGAGCGCTTGCCTAGCCCATGGGAGGCAGCGGGTTCCACCCTCAGCACCACATAAAAACAAATAAGTAAATAAAGGCACTGTGTCCATCTGCAACTAACAAAATATTTTTTTTTATTTATGTATATTTTGGTATAGCTGCCTGAACTCAGGAGCACTTGACCACGGAGCCACATCCCCAGCCCTATTTTGTATTTTATTTAGAGACAGGTCTCACTGAGCTGCTCAGTGCCTCGCTGTTGCTGAGGCTGGCTTTGAACTCACGATCCTCCTGCCTCAGCCTCCCAAGCTGCTGGGACGACAGGCGAGCACCATGTGCCGGCTTTAAAAAAAAAAAACATTAAAAAAACAAAACAAAACAAAAAAGATGCTGTCTCAAGGAGCGATTACGTGCAACCCTTTCCTTGGTGTGGGGGGTCCTCAACTGGGGGGTGAGTCTGCTCCCAGGGGAGACACGAGGCCATGTCTGTGGACACGTGTGGCTGTCAGGACAAGAAGCTCCTGGCATGGAGTGGGTGGGGGCCAAGGATGCTACTTAGCACCAAGCAGTGCCCAGGACCCCACCCCAGAGAAGAGCCCAGCCCAAATGTCTCAGTGCTAAGAAGCCCCCTCCGGGGAGGGAGCCCGGAGCCCTCCCCACTCTCTCTGGAGGTCGGTTCCCAGCTGCAGGCTCACAGCTGTCCCGTTCCTATCCTATCCCCTAGCTGGAACCACGGCTGACACTCAGAAATACTCTGTCAACACTGAGGCTGAAGGCACAAGTCACTCCTGTCTTGAACGCTGTCTAAAGTCAAAGAGAGCCCTGGCTCAGTCGCCTACAAGAGCCAGGCCCCAACTACCTGGTGCCCAGCACCTAGACACAGGAGGGTGGCAACAGTGAAAGCGCTGTCACCACAAGGAGGCGCTGGCTGCATTCATACTGGTGAAAAGCGAGGGTGCCCGTGTCAGAGAGAAATGGGTTCAAACCTCAGCTCTGCCACTTCGGGGCTGTGTGCCCTTGGGGAAGCCACCTAATCTGGCTGCATCTCAATTTCCTCAGCTATAAAATGGGTCTACACAGTCCCTACATCTGGGGCTCCTGGGAAGACTAAGGGGATCACACACACAGCACCAAGACAAGGACGGGCCAGTGCTGTCAACTAATCAAGTCACTTAAAACCACACCAAAGGGAAGACTCAACTAGAGTCCATTTCAGACCAGAATTCTCTCCAATCAACAGCAAGTGCCGGCACTGAACGGGATGTGGTCCAGCTGGACTGGCACTCTCCCCCCTCTCCCTGAGGCCTCCCAGAGCACTCTCACCAGGGGCATCAGAGGGACAATGGATAAAAGAAAATCCTCCAGCAGATACACAAAAAGCTACAGCCATCAGCCAACGGTCCCTGAGGGCAGTGACCCCAGGGCCACAGAAAGTCACTTCCTGTCTATCTCTCTGTTCCAGAGTCAGTCCACACCCCAGCCTGCCTGGCTGCCCAACCCCAGCACAACTGACCTTCTAAAGGGTCCAAGGAACCTCCATTCCAGCTGCAGGCATGGGACACAGACCTTGACAGAACAGATGTGCCATTAACACACAGGCTGAGGAAGAGGCCAGCTGTGTGCTAGCTTGCTGTCCTGCCACTGGTGTCCCACAGGGGAGGTGGCTGGGGGCCTAACCCTCTCTGCCTGGCTCGATTCCAGCTGTGCTCACAGCCCCGCAGCATGGTCCCCCCACCCTGCCCAGTCCCCTAAGACCTGCCAGGGGCCACAGGGGTTGGTGACTACAGTCCACGTATCCTGGGCCTTAGTCCCAGCTCCTCGAAAGCAGGTTCGTTCTTGCCGCTGAGGCAAGCGACTTGCTCCAGGGCCCTGCAGGCGTTAGGGGTGGGGGGGAAGGCATGGGTCACCTTCGATGGCTTAGCTGCGATATTGATGGGGACGTGTCAGGACTGGCCTAAGACTGCGTGGGGAGAGAGGGCGGCTGGACAGGCCCAGGCCCCGCGAGAAGGCGGGCTGGCTAGGGCCAGGTGGTGGCGAGGGGCTGCGGGCAGGACGCGGGTGCGAAGAGGCGGCCGCTGTCTCCCCGGGGCTCGCGAGGGCAGCGGACGGAGGGCCAGGACCTCCGCGGGCTGCGCGGCGGCGGCGGCGCTGTCAAGGTGCGCGGCCGCGAGAGCGGACCTGGGCGCGGCCCCGGCGAGGTGGGCAGGGAGGCCGGCGACCGGGTGGCCCTGCGGGCGGGACCCGCCGGAGGAAGGCGCGGGGCCGGGGCGGGGGCGGAGGCGAAGCCGAGGCGGCGACCGCGGGCTCGGAGCGCGGCCGACAGCGGGGCCGCGGCGCTGGGAGGCCGGGCGGAGGCGCCGCGGCGGCCGTTCAATGGCGGGGCCGGGGTCGCGGCCGAGGCGGGGCCGGTCAATGGCGGGTTCGGGGTCACGGGAGAGGCGGGACGGGCACGGGCGCTGCTCACCGGGGCGCGGGGCGGCGGCAGGGCTGGGCAGGGCGTCCCGGGGCCAGCGGCGCCTCACGCTCGCGGCTCCATGCCCCTGACTGCGGCCCCGGAAGTGGCGGGCGCGGGGGACAGCGGCGGCGGGGGACAGCGGCGGCGGCGGACACGGGGGACCCGCCGGCTCAGGCCCCTTTGACCCGGAAGTTGAGCTGCCCAAGCGGCGGCCCGCGATTGGACAGCGCTCGGCCGCACCACCGCTCTCGGGCGCCGGGGGGAGCTCTAATAGACCGACCTGCCCGGAGCTGGGGAGAGACGCCCCCGTGCGGGTGGTACGGCCGGGGCCGCTAAACTTGCTTTTCAGAGGTGCCTGGAAACCTCCCGTCGCCGGCGCGTTGGTGGTATAGTGGTTAGCATAGCTGCCTTCCAAGCAGTTGACCCGGGTTCGATTCCCGGCCAACGCAGCATTCAATTTTTGCCTTTAAGTCTCAATTCTCCAATAGCCCAAGACCCAGGTTTTCTGTTTAATAACCTTGGGATCACTTTTTAAATTCCATAAATATTCTTAAGAGTCTAGAAATAAAAACAAGTGAAGCAGTAATTACTGTTATAGGAATTTTGAAACTTTTGAAAAATATACTCTATAATAAAGTGAAAAGGTCATACAAAACCAGGAAAAAAAAAAAAAAAGCACAATTGTTTCCGCCCGGGATCGAACCGGGGACCTTTCGCGTGTGAGGCGAACGTGATAACCGCTACACTACGGAAACCGGCGGGGACGGCCTTCCTTGCACTGTAATAATGTAACTCGAAGGTTGCACAGCCCGTTACATTGTAACCCCTGTTGTGCACAATGTTTGCTAGCGGTTGACTTCCGCTCCATTGACACAATTCAACACACAAACAAATGACTCACCAGACCGTCCAGAAGCCACACCTCCCTGTCATTGGTTTGTCGTTCATGCAATTTATCCTTAAAAATTCGTTTAAGTTTCGGTGGAGATTCCCTGTCTTGCTTCAGCTCAATCATCTTCTTAAGGCACTCTCTGAAAACAATTGTGTGTGCGTGTGTGTGTGTGCGAGCGGGGGTGTGTACGTGTGTGCACTGTGTGCATGTGTGTGCGTGTACGTGTGTGCGTATGTACGTGTGTGCACTGTGTACGTGTGTGCATGTGAGTGTGTGCACTGTGTACGCGTGTGTGTGCGTGTGTGCGTGCACTGTGTGAGCGTGTGTGTGCGCGCGTATGTGTGTGTGCGTGTGTGCATGCAACTGTGTGTGCGTGTGTGTGCGCGCGTGTGCGCGCGTCTGTGCGTGTGCGTATGCACTGTGTGTGCGTGTGTGTGTGTGCGTGTGTGTGTGTGTACACGCGCTGTAAGTGCAGGGAATTTGGAAGGAAAAACCAAATCGAGAAGCGAGGCCAGAAGGCGACTTACGAGGCTGTCCCTGTGGCTCATCAGCAGCGCTGACTTGTGAAAATGCCGGCCGCTCGCCGCTGTCCTCGGCTTCCCTTGAGGGGGCGAGAGAAGGGTCAGCAACGGCTGGGCCTCGCCTCTCCCACCTGGGCCGGGGCCAGGGCGAGGTGCGGGCCCTGGGGGCCGAAGCCCCCCCGAGGCCGCGGCGATACCTTTAGGGTGCAACATGCTTCCACGCCAGCCGGACTGCAGGGCGACCTGGAGGACCGGCCACGCCCGCCGAGCGCTGTCCGCGGGGCCCGCGCAGCCGCACCGAGCCGCCCGCCGGCCGCGCCCCCGCGGCGCCCCACCCCGAAGACGCGGCCGGTCGCGGGACCCCGCGCGGGGGCCCTCACGCTCGCGGCCCGACCCCCCCTGGCAGGGGCCAGCACGTCGTGAGCCTCGGACGCTCCTGGGCGGGAGCCGGGAGGCAGGGGGGCGGGGGCCTTCGCTGAGCCCGGGCTGGGGACCCCTCGGCGAGAGCCCTCCCCGGTCAGATCCCGGGAGCCGAAACCGGGGGGCGGCCGCTGCCGGAGCCACGCCCTTCCCGCTGCCATCACCAGGCCGTGCCCCTTCCACATCTTTGACGTTGACCCTCGTATAGTGACCCCTGCGACTCCAGCAGGCACACCGAGATGATCCCAGATGGTCTTTCCTCCCGGAACCCTCCTTAATGCCACCTGCCAAGTCCTTTAGACCACGGGAGGAGGGCGCGGACCCTGGGGTGAGTGAGTGGGCCCTGGGTGGGGTGAGTGGACCCCGGGGTGGGGTGAGCCTTCCTCTACCAACACCCCTCGGCACCCTGTAAGCAGTTTTGTTTCTCGCTTCTCTCTTTTTAGAAACAGCTGGGTGTGTCCTGCAGTCCTGGGGGGAGCCAGGGCCTCCTGCGCCCTCGGCCATTCTCCGCCGCGGGCCCCCAGCCCGTCTTTTTCATTTTGAAACAGGGGTCAGCTAGTTGTGCAGGCTGGCCTCGAATACAGTCCCCTGCGTCAGTCTTCTGAGTCCTTGGGGTTCATTCTTCTTTTTTCCTCGGTGACATCAGTGTCCCCACTTACACATTCTTCCCTAACATCCTTGTTGAGGGCTGCGTATGTTGCAGGCACCCGTTTCTTTTTCTCTGGATAACAAGCATTTACTGACGGCTTCCTGCGTGCCGGGCACTAGGCTGGGTGGAGGGTACACACTGAGTGGGGCCACGCAGCTCCTCCCTCCGGAGCTTGCTGCCTTCCAAGGGCCAAACAGAAGGCCCTCAGGGAAAGCACAGGCTCTAGGGCAGGGGTCCGCACAGCCAAAGAAGGCCACAGCTGAACTGTGCAGAGCGGGGAGGCTGGCACTGACCGGGAAGGACGGGGCTCCCTGGAAGCCTCAAGTTCCGTGGCTCCTGGCAGAAGGTCGAGGCAAGAGTTCTCCTCTTGATCCGTTAAGACAGCATTGGAAAGTCTGGAAGCTCTTGAGGCCGCTCTGATAGGGTGAGTTTAAGAAGCTACCTAGTGCTTGGGAGGCTGAGGCAGGAGGATGGCAAGTTTGAAGCCAGCCTCTGCAACTTAGCCAGACCGTGTCTCAAAATAAAAAGTAAAGGAGTGGGTTCTGGTTTAGCGGTAGGGTGCTTTAGCATGGGAGAGACCCTGCGTTCCACCCCACCCTGCCAGTGAGTGAGAGAGAAAGAGGCAGAAGAGGAGGGGGAGAGGGAGGAGGAAGCCTCCTGGGAGGTTGGCTGGGAAGGAGGCGGGATGGGGGATCCGCAGAGGCAAGAGCAGGAGGTTGTCATCCGAAAGGAGGCCGAGGAAGAGCAGCCCAGCCCCCGCCTGTGGAGCCCCTGCGCGTGCTGCTAGGAAGGTCCAGTGGACGACCACGCTGGGGAGACGCCGGGAGACAGGTCCTTCCTGAGGTGCAGCGCGGAGTCACTGTGCGCGTGTGGCCCAACCACGCCCCGGCTCAGCATCTGCCTGAGGAACTGCAGGGCCCTACGAGGTCCCCAGTGTCCTCTGGTGGGGAATGGAGGGACAAGAGCGTTTCTTCCAACAGGACACAGAGAGCCACAGAGAGCCCCAGGGAGCCGGCGCACGAGGTGGGGAAGCTCAAGACTGGCTGTGTGCTTGTCTGTCTGTCTGTTTGAGGGTCCTGCTTTGTTGCCCAGGCCGGCTTTGAACTCGGGTCCCCCTACGCAGCTTGGCACTACAGGTCCCGCCACCACCCTGGGCTGGAAACCACTCGTTTTGTACAGGTGAGAGAAGCCAGCCGTTAAGGTCACATGTCCCATCCCATCCTAACGAAAGGTCAAGAACGCGCAAAGCCTGGTGCACCGGGGGCTCCCAGGGCGGGCAGGAGGGGCCAGGACTGCTGGCCCCCTACCAGGAACTGAACCCAGGGGCACTTGACGCTGAGCCACCCCCAGCCCTGTTTTGTGTTTGAGATAGGTCTCCCAGAGTGGCTCAGCGCCCTCTTGCTGAGGCTGGCTTTGAACGCGAGATCCTCCTGCCTCAGCCTCCCAAGCTGCTGGGAGTTCAGGGTGCCAGGGGCCGGCCTGGGGTGGGTGTGGGGGGAGATGAGAGCACAGCTAAGCGCCACGTGAATCTACCAACCCCCTGAGTTCTACCGCAGGAGTGGGTGCAGCACCTCGCATGGGCGCCCTGTCACGTGAAACTGTCCCCAACTGCGCCCGGGCTGGGTCTGGGGAAGGAGGGGGCTGCGCCGGTACCGGGAAGCGACTGCGGGGATCCCCTGCGCTGGGCGAGCGGCCGAGAGGCGCGTGGGTCTGCCGGGCCGAGCTTGGTCCGAGGGAGAGGAGGTTGCTCCAGGAGAGGGACAGAGGGGACCCGAAAGTGGCCCGGGGCTGCCAGCGTGGCGGGAGCAGAGGGACTGGCAGTGGCCAGAGGCAGGAGGAGCGAGGATGTCCAGGAGCGGGAGGGGGGCGGAAGTGGCAGTTCCCAGGACAGCAGCCGACCTGCGGTGGCGCTCGGCAGCCTGGAGGAGACCAGGGCGGAAAGTGAGGAGCCGGCTGAGGGAGGGGCGGCCGTCTGCCCGACGGAGCCCCGGGCGGGTGGCCCGAGGGCAGAAGCTCCATCACCATCCCGCAGCCTGGAGCCCCAAATCAGGGCGTGGCCGCGGCAGGTCCCCGCGGGCTGGGGAGACTGTCACTGCCTCTCCCCTGGGTCTCTTCTGGCCTCTCTGCACGTCGGTGCGTCCAGATCCCCCTTTTCTTAAGGTCGCCAGTCGGACTGGATGGGGGCGGTCCTCAGGCGGCCTCAGCCCGGTGGCCTCGGTAAAGATCTGTGCAAAGAGGTCACGTTCCAGGGACCTGGGGCCAGCTCTGAGGCTCTGGAGGGAGACCGTGACCAGTTCCTAGGAGAGGGACGGGCCACTGTTCCTGAGCCAGGCCCCTGTTCTTGGCTCCTGGGGCCACACTTTGAACACGTGCTGCGGGTCCTGCCTCCCTCCACCGCCGCTCCGGCCTCAGCCACCTCCTCCCGTGGCGGGCTGAGCCACCCCCCAGCCCTGTGTGTATTGATTTTTTTAGAGACGGGGTCTCACGGAGTTGCTTCTGCTGAGGCTCCTCAGATCCTCCTGCCTCAGCCTCTGGAGATGCTGGATTGCAGGCGTGGGCCACCGGCCAGCCCCCTCTTTCCTTGGGGGCCAGGGACGGCCCCTCTTCCCTGCTCACCCTCTCAGGCAGCCTCATGCTCTCTGAACCCATCTCCACCTGTCGGTGCCACAGTCCTGCCCAGCGCTGGCTTCTCCCGGCTCTAGATTCACGTCCAGCTTCCCCAATGTCTGCTCCCTTCTCTGCCCACAGCAGGTGGCTCCCACCTCCCCTGGGTCAAAGCCCAGGTGCTGCCCTTGGCCCACCCCCTCCTCCCTGTCTCCCTCTCCTCACCCAGCTCCATCCACACAGGGTGGTGCTCCTCCAACGCTGGGCTGCCCCAGGGCCTTTGCACAGCTGTACCCTCTGGTTTCTGCCAGGTCTTTCCAAGGGTGGCTTCTTCCTTTCTGCCTTTAAGTCTTGGTGTCACCGTCACCTCCTCAGAGGGACCTTCCCTGACCCTGATTACTTTTTTTTTAATTTCTTTTAATATTTTAAAGTTGTTGATGGACCTTTATTTTATTTCTTTGTATGTGGTGCTGAGAATCGAACCCAGTGCCTCATGCATGCCACGCAAGCGCGCTACCACTGAGCCACGATACCAGCCCCTGATTACTTTTAAACCTCTCCTTCCCACCTTGGCACTCAGACTCTGTCCCCGCGGCTTCCCCCTGTTGGTTCACTATCTTTGGGATAGTCCGCGAGTCGATCAGCCGGCTGATGCTCCTGGGCTTTGGGCGCCCGCCATGCACAGGGGTTTGGGGCTCTCCTGTTTGCTGAGCGGGTTTGCTTCCCAGCTCCCTCTGTGAGTGCTCAGTAAACACTGTTCAGAGGCGAGCAGGTCCGCGTGGGGGACAGGTGGGCTTCCTGCTGGGGGGACGTCACTGGGGGAGGAGCCTCCCTGTCCCTCCCGGGGCCTGCGGGGCTCACCTAGCTGCCAACAATCAAAACAGAGAAACATCCTTCAAAATGGCTTCTGGGGTCTGGGTCGCTAGTGCTCAGCACGCACGCGCCCCTGGCTTCCACCCCAGGCCCCCGCCCCGCGCGGGGCTTCCTGGGCTGGGAACCTCAGGCGCAGCCCACCCACCGTGTGGCCCAGGGGCTTCAGCGTCAGCCCCTGCCGGGGCGGCTGGGTGGTGTCCTGGAGAGGCCCTGGGCGCACGGAGAGCTCCGTCTTTCCACCAGGTGTCAGCAGGGGCACAGGCTCCCGCCTCAGCATCCCGCCTCCGCCCCCTCCCCAGGGCTCTCGGGTCCCAGACCTCCGCCCACCACAGCCAGGCACTTCCCCCCCGCAAGAGGCCCTTCATGTCCGGCCAGGGTCAGCGGGCTGTTCCACCTGGTGTCCACTGTCCCCGGAGCCTGCGGCCGGGGTCTGGGGGGAGGAAAGCCAAGGGAGGGAGCGCACAGACCCCCTTTGGTGGCTGAGAAGGACATGCCAGCAACCACAGACCTGTGTGCTGAGAGCCCTTTGTCACTTGGTCAGCCCCCACCCCCACCCCCGAAGCCAGCGCTCGGGCCTCAGCAGCGGCCTCCTCCTTCCAGGGCCGAGGAGATCCCGGAGAGGGAGAAGGAATTTTAACTTGGTCAAGGAGACAGACGGGGCAAGTGACTTGTCCAAGGTCACACAGCTTATAAATGGCAGAACCAGGATCCAACGACCGATGTCCCGGCTCTGAGTCTGTGATTCAAAAGTAGACTAAGTTCAAGGTAACCGAAAAGATAACGCGGAGTCTGAGCAGCCATGAGAAGACCAGCCCCGGACCGGTCAGTGGGAGCCTGGGGAGGGTGGCCCGCCCTTTTCTGTAGGTTGACCTTGCTTTAAAGCGAAACCTCTTCTCTCCCTCTCCTCGGTGGTTTAGATGGGCGGAGGTGGCGCAGTGGTGAGCGCTGCCCAGCGGGACCTGCCTTCGCTCGCTGTGGCGGGCAGACACGTGGGAGCAGACACCTATGGAAACTGCTAGAATCAAGTGGAGATGCTGCTAGGGATGCGGCTTCCTGGCCTCGGTGACGTCCTGGACGTTGCAGAAACCAGCTGTGGTTTCAGAGACACAACCTGCGACAGGGGTAAGGACAAGTATAAACGCCGCGTCCTCTCCCCGACGTCCTCTGTGGGTGACACCAGACTTGCAATCAGAAGTCAGTTACAAGAAAGAAAATATGATACTTACTGTCGGTGACCAACGGTGGGACGGGGACCGTGGGGCCAGGGGCCAGGCTGTCAATCCCAAGGCATCTATGGGAACTGACCTAGGGGGTCCGGACCCTCGTCATCCCCTCATCCCCGATTTAAGGATGGGAGAGTGAGGTTCAGAATTCAAGAGCTGTATTCTGCAGAAAGAGGAGGGACGAGACATGAGCCCCTACGTCTGGCCCGCTCCAGCCTTGCGCCAACCCCACTGCGCCAACAGAGAGGAATTTGGTCACTGATGATCCTTTTATTTATTGGAGCTGGGGATTGAACCCAGGGGCGCTTAACCATTCCCCAGCTCTTATTTTTTGGAGGAGGGGGGTACCAGGGGTTGAACTCAGGGGCTCTCCACCACTGAGCCACGTCCCAGCCCCATTTTATATCTTACTTAGAAACAAGGTCTCACTGAGTTGCTTAGGGCCTCGCTTTTGCTGAGGCTGGCTTTGAACTCGCGATCGTCCTGCCTCAGCCTCCCCAGATACAGGATTACAAGTGTGGGCCCACTGCACCCAGTTTCGTTTTGTTTTGAGTCAGGGTCTGAGGCTGGCCTCAAATTTGCTATCTTCCTGCCTCAGCCTCCCAAGCCACCGGGATCACGGATACTTTAACATTAACCACGTGCCCTCAGCCTGGGAACCTGAAGGTCTCTTTATTCTGGATCCACTGGGGGCAGGTCCTGGACGGGCAGCTAGGGGAAGGTCTGAAGTCCCCGGGGACCTCCCACTGGCCGGGTGCTGCCCTCCATGGGGCATTGGAATGGGGCCTCTGTCTGTGGCCACGTTGTGCCCACCCCTGATTCCTGCCTTCGGGTCCCTAAGTCCACCTGCAGCAGCAGGTCACCGCAGCCCGGGGTGCTCTGAGGCTCCTCCTGTCCACTCCCACCCTGAAGTGCTGAAGCGCGGCTACCAATGGCATTCTGCTGCCTGGAACACCAAGGGCAGAGGATTCCGTCGGGGAGTGGGGCTTCCAACCCGCACTCCTGGGATGTCCTTGTTCTTTTGAAGACTTTGGTGGACGTGCGCGTGGGAGGGGGTGCTGGGGACGACCAGGGCCCCCCACGTGCGAGGCAGCGCTCCACCGCGGAGCTGCACCCCAGCCCCAAGTGTTTTTTTAGCTGCTGCATAAAAACTAAAAACTGCCGTGGGATGTCAGCGCCGTATGTGTCGTGTGACACTTAAATCTGGCTAAACCCGAGGACACTGGTCTTCTCTGTTGGTGAACACTCAAACCCCCTCCCTGTGTCTGAGGCCCAGGCGCCGCCTTGTCACTGTGGGCAGCGTGCTGCGCCCGAACCAGGAGGCAGCCGTCTCCCGCGGCCAAGGGGGTGCCTGCCAACACAGGGCCCGCCTGCTCCAGGGGACGGCGGGGACGTGGCCACAAAGTGGGCTTGTTATTTTTGTCATGGGGACCAAAGAACAGGAGATAAAGAAGGGGGCGCGGGAGGGCAGGCAGGACTCCCCTCCGGCTGGCTCCCTGCTCCCTGCACCTCCAGCTCCGGCATCTCAAGGCCACGTCGTGTGGTTCTGGATATTCTTAGCTCTGCACAGATAGCCACCCATGCAGAAACTAAATGTAACCGAGACGGGTCGCAAGGACTCTCTTCCTATCCCCATCTGCCCACCCACTACAGATTCTGCTGGAAATTTCCTTGTACTGGGTCTCTCTCTCTCTCTCTGGCACTGTGCTAAGTGTATCCTTGCTGTGTGACATGGGGCAGATGAGTCTCCCTCCCTGAGCCTCAACTTCCTCATCTTATAATGAGACCACAGTGCAGTGTCTTTCGGGGCGTTGGGAGGAACAAATACATTAGGCTCCTGGGCAGCAGGTGCCTGTGCCAGGCAGCTCCTCATCACCATGCCAAGCACCTGAGGCCAACGGAGGAGGAAAGACTTGTTTGTGCTCACATTCCACAGGTCTCAGCCAGGGATCAGTGGACTCGGTGGCTCCGGGCCTGAGGTGAGACGGCACCCACAGTCTCCAGAAGCCACACAGAGGAGAGCTGTCAGCTCAGGGCAGTGGGGAAGCCCAGAGAAGCTGGGGACCAGACCCGGTCCCAGAGGGCACACCTGCCCCGCCCTTCCTCCAGCAGCGTCGCCCGCCCGGGCTCCCACGGCCTCCAGGAGCCCACTCAGCCATGCGTGGCCAACCCGCTGCTGAGGTGGAGCCCTCGGGATGCAACTCCTCGGTGCCAGCCTGCTCCCCACCCCTGCAGCACCGGAGCTCCTGCCAGGAGCCAGTGCGCGCACCCACCTTCCCGCAGCGCCACGGGCACCCGCGGTGGCATGGCAGGCCGGGTTTCCTCACGTGTCGTCGGGCACTGCGGCAAGGCTGCCTCGGGAGGGCGCACCTGGCCCCCGGCCACGCTGAGGTCGGTCCTTTCTCTGCTCATCCCAGCCCCCTCCCCGATGGTCACAGCTCCGCTGTCCCCCCTGTCCTTCTTCCGCGTGTTGCTGGGGTGGAACCCAGTGCCCTGCCCATGCTGGGCACACCCCTAGCCCCAGGCCAGGTGGCTCATGGGAGGGTCCCCGGGGACCAACGGGGGACGTCTGCTGACATTGCGGCTGTCAGAACTGGACGCGGGTAGGATGTGCCATGAGCACCCATCTAGTGGGCAGAGGCCCGGGTAGTGATCAAGAGCCTGGAGTGTGCAGGGGGTCCCCACCACAGTGAAGGACCTGCTCTCAGATGTCCACTGTGCCGAGGCTGAGAAACCCCAACCTGGATGTCACATAAGGCAGAGGGACTCAGGAAGACCAATGGCCCGCTCCTCCTGGTGTCCCACCCCGGCTCCCCTGGGGCCATCTGAATGGGGTGGACTCGACTGCACTGCTCAGACCCATGCCTTGCTGGGCACCTGATCCCCACCTGTGCAAGATACAACTTGCTGCAGGGAAACAGTCGCCACTTGAGAGAGTGTGTCCCTGTGATCCGTGCTCAGTCCCTCCTGTGCCTTAGTTCATCAGTCCTCACAGCCACCTTGAGGGAGCACGATGCTCTTCACGCCCATTTCACTGTGAGAAAACCAGCCTCCCAGCAGGAGCGTCCACGTGGAGCCCAAAGACAAGCCCAGTTCTTTGCAGGGCAGAGCTCACGCCACTGGCACTTGACCCCAGTGAGCCTCCGCTGGGGCCGCTGTGCCCTCTGTTCCCCGACTGGATGGGTGGCTGCTGTGGGTGTCACACTGTAGGGTGCATGGGATGGATGGTGGGTGCTGCTGGCCTGGAGGGGTGGAGGCCAGGGACACTGCTCAGCACCCTGCAGTGCCCAGAACACCGCCCCAGAGAATAACTTGGCCCCAGGGTCCCCAGGACTGAGGGGAGGGAGTCCGCCCAGGAAGCCATTATCTCAAGATCTACACCCCCCCCCGCCCCCCCCCCCCCCCCCCCGCCCAGGAAGGAAAGGGCCCCTGTTGGGGGCTTGAAGGGGCTTCCTGCCGGTTTCCTCGCCCACCTACAGGTCAGGAGGAGGCCAGCTGGGTCCTGCCAGGACCCTGACCCAGCACCCTGAACAGTCCCAGCCCTCATCACTGTCCCCAACCGTGAATTCTGGGGCACAGTGAGGAGACAGCCAGCTTCACTGGAGAAGAGGTGGCCCAGGAGAAGGTGGACTTCCTGCAGAAAGCGGGGGACTCAGGCTCAATGGGGTCCTTGGCTCGTGTGACAGAAAAGAATTTCAGCACCTGGGGATTGTGTAGAAGCAGACGCCCCTCCAGGGAGGATGCGGCCATCTCCAGGGGGAGAGGTCCCCAGAGGCCCTTCTGACCACGGCCTGGCTCCCTGGCGCTCCTCAGGGTCCCCTCTGCCCGAGGTCCCACCCCACCTCGGGAGACCGAGGGCTCTGGCGCCGGGGGGCTGAAGCCTGATTTGAGGCAGCCACGGGCCCTCTGGCCGGCTGGACGCCGCGTCCTGGGGACCCAACACTGACCGCTCCCGGGACGGCAAACTGAGCGGGGGCGGGTGGGGGTGGGGTGTCGTGCTCTGTCCTCCCTTGCCCAGGCTGGGGGAAGGGGCGCTCTCGAGCCGAGGGGACCGGGTGGCAGGTGGGGGCGGGGAGACAAAGCCGCCCGGGGCGCTGTTCCGAGCGGCCTCGCTGTCTCCCGCGGAATTAGACCAAATTGCAGCAGCGGCCCTAAGGGACGGCGCCCCCGCATTGTCAGGGACCGAGCTGGGCGGGGCGGGAGGGCCGCCTCCTGCCGGGAGCCCGGGGAGCCAGGCGGGGGCGGCCGCTGTCGGATCTGGCTCCGGGAAAGCCGTTACCGAGCGCAGGGGCCGGGGCGGCGGGGAGGGAGGACGGGTGGGCAGGGGGCCAGCGGGGGCCAGCGACGGCGGGACTCCTACCGGAAAGGGCACAGCCCTGTCTCCCCAGGCCGCCCCCGCCCCCAGGCCTGGTTAGGATGATGGGGACCCTGCGACCCTGGGAAGCCGCGCGCACACGCGCCCGCCGGCCAGGGCCAGCCCCTTGGTCTCTGTCATCACTGCCCCTGGGGTCCACTCCCGGAGAGGGACCCTGGGGGCCCTCCCGCCAGGATGGTCCCAGGACCCTCTCCGGGGATTGCCCCATCCCGGGTGCCCTCCGCCCGCCCCGCCCCTCTCTGGCCCACCCCAGCTCTGGAGTCCCCTGCTCCCCAGTCCCCGAGTCTCCCTCCCTTTTCCAGCCCCCTCCCCTTGCTGACCCTCCCAGGGACTCATCCCTCCGTCGGAACCCCGCCACCCCTAGAGTTCCCTCCTCAGGGGGCTTCCCCAGGTCATCCCCACCTGCGCCCCTCCCCGGGCTGGACCTGCTGGAGAGGCGCGGATTCTCCCCCATCTAGGTTTTGGGGTGTCCTGGGGAGAGGGGGCTACTCTCCATCCCTGCTTCTCAGGGTCAGAGGGCAGGGTCACAGCGCCGTGGAGGGCCGGGTGGGTCTCCGAGGTGAGATGAGGCTGCGGACCCCGGGGTGCTGTGCCCCCCCCCGCCCCGCCCCGCCCCAGTGTGAGCAGCCATTGCTGCCATGGGGACCCGCTCCCGCTGCGGCTCCCACTCCCACGGAGCTGAGCGCAGGCGAACGCGCGCGCGCGCGCGCACACACACAGGCACACACGCACTCACAGCCCCTGAGCACAACACCCCTTCGGGAGACCTGGGGGCGGAGAGCAGGATACAGGGCAGAGATGGCATGGACAGGGCTGGGGTCTAGGTGGGGAGAGAGATGGGAGAGGGGAGCGACCCTCCACATCCCCTGCCCTTCCCCCCGCCTGCCTGAGTGCTTCCTCCTTCCTCCCTGACTGTCCACCCCTGACTGTCCCCTGCCCTGAGTCCCTGGCCCTGGACCCCGCAGACACCGGAGCTTGAGAGCATCAGGTGAAGGTCAGGCAGGCAGAGCTTGGAGGAGGGAGGTGTTTGCCAGGAACCCTGGGCTGGCCGCTGGCCCTGCCTCTCCTGCTTCTGGGGCTGCTGACACCTGGGTTCCTCATCTGTGCAGTGGGACAGTCGTGCTCACCCCTTGGCCAAGTGGCATCAGCTAAACGGTGCAGAGGGCTTCATGCCAGGACACAGCTTGTGCTCACGTACCGACCGTCAAAGTCAGAAGTTCACAGGTGACAAACAGTGACCAGTATAGACCTATGACATTCACTTTTAAAAATAAGTCTTAACTGTCACTGTACCTCTGAGAGCCAGAATCAAACATCAGCAGCTCAGAATTCCACCCCCCCTCAAGCAGGCGCCAGCTTCCGACCAAGAGTCCTGGTGAGGACGGCCCCTGCCAGCTGGCACCGCCCTGGGGCGGGAGGTCCACACTCCTTTTCTTTTTCTTCCCCTTTTAAAAAAATGTTGAGTGGTTTCCCATAAAATGATCAGCTTTCCTGGGAAAACCCTGTCCCACCTGACTGTGCTGGACCCCCTCCTCCTTGGGGAAGGTGGCCATGTGGAGGCTGGGTGGGCCGAAGTGGCCGACCGTGGCCGCATGGTCTCTGCTTCTGAGTCTGGGTGTGATCTGATGAGCCCGTGTCCTTCTGGTGTGGGACGTGTACCTATGTGCACACGCATGGTGCCAGGGAACCGCCACTGTCTCTGCAGGCCACACGTGTGCTCGTGGCCATGCGGGCCACGGCTAACCCTTGTGGCTTGGGCTTGCTTTCCTTGCTGTGCCCCTGGCGCGGTGAGCAGCCCAGGAGGCTGGGACGCTCTTAGGCTGTTTGCAGCTGGACTCTTCACGTGTGCTGAGTGACCGTGGGGGGGGCGCTGGTGCAGTGGGCACGTGGACACGCAACCACAAGTCTGTGGCCATGTGTGTATTCATGGGCATATGGACGTGTGTCTGTCCCCATGTGTGGCTGTCTGGGGACAGTGTGTCTGTGCCCAGGAGTACGTGCTGGGCTGAGCTCGTGTGGCAGGTGTGTGGTCCTGCTTGAAGCTCCCGGGGTGTGCCCTCAGATGTCTGTGGCCATGTTTGTGAGTCTGGGTACAAACCTGCATGTCCCCCAGGACAGGGTCCCAGGGGTGGGTGAGGCTTGGAGCAGGGGGAGGGGTGGGCAGCCTGCCCAGCAAGGGGCCACAGACCTGAGGTGAGACTCGGGGACAAACAGTGCAGGGAAGCATGTGATTGGCTCAGACCAGCCCCCTGCCCCTGAACCAACCTCTGGTGGGTGGCCAGGTGGTGGCGCGCTCTGATTGGCCAGGCCGTGTCACATGTCTGCTCTTGGGGGAAGGGGCCAGGGAGAAGTGACAGCCAGGCCCACTGAGAAATAAAGAAAATAGCCAGGGGCAGTGGCCACGCCTGTGTCTCCAGGGACTTCGGAGGTGGAGGCAGGAGCTGGGCAGCTGAGCGGAGGCCTGCCGCGGAGACAGAAGGGCTGGGCTGGGGCTCAGTTCCCGGGTTCAATCCCCAGTAGAGAAGGAAGGAAAAGAGAGAGAAAGAAAATAAACCCTGGTCACCTCCCGGTGCTGCTAATGATCACACCTGCCCTGCTGTCATGGGTGTGCAAAAACACGTGGTCACAAGAAATAAGTGTCCCCACTGTACAGGCGAGAAAATGGCTGCACAGAGAGGGTAAGTTACTTGCCTTCAGGCACACAGCCAGGAGACAGAAGCCCGAGTTCCAGCCTGGCCGTGTGATCCAGAACCCCTGCTCTAACCACCAGGCTCTCGGCCCCACGGTCACAGCACTCCTGGCTGTGGCTTCTGCGCCACTACCTCTCGCATCTCAGACAAGCACGGGACTCCTTCTCCCCCCACCCCTGGGACGCTGGGAGGCTCCCCTGTGCTGCCTGGGACTTTGCAGGGGCTTGAAGGCTCTCTAGCGGCTCAGCGGGGTTCATTCTGAGAGTCCTTGGGACTGCTGACGGAGTCCAGCAGCTACTGGAGTTTCTCAGGCTCTTTCTCAGAAGCTGCTCTGGGTCAAAAGTGTTGTCATGCGTGTTGAGATGCACCAGCTTTGAAAACACACTGTCTTTGTTCAATCCCCCTTATGCTGCTGTGGGTCCTTGGAAAATATACTAAACCTCTCTGTGCTCAGTTTTTTCATCACTTGGATGGAGTGGTCATGAGGACATGGGTTAATTCATGTCCAAGCTTGGAGTGGAGTTTATTTCTGCTAGCATCAGGGATAATTGACTTTGGCTAGTGTCTTAGTTCTTTTTTTTTTTTTTTTTTTGGTACCAGGAATTAAACCCAGCGATGTTTAGCCACTGAGCCACATCCCCAGCCTTTTTTATTTTATTTTATTTTATTTTTTGTATTTTGAGACAGGGTCTTGCTAAGTTGCTTAGGGCCTCCTTGCTAAGTTGCTGAGGCTGGCTTTGAACTTGCCATCCTCCTGCCTCAGCCTCCCAAGCTGCTGGGATTATAGGTGTGTGCCTCGGCACCCAGCTCTTAGTTCATTTTCTGTTGCTGTAATTGAATGCCACAGATTGACTAAGTTACAAAGAATAAAGGTTTGTTTCATTCACAGTTCCAAAGGCTTGGAAGGTTGAGCTCCAGTGGCCATGTCTGACGAGGGCCTTCTTGCTGGCACTGGGTGCCGCACGTTGAGATGGACGTCCCCTCTCTGGGCTCTTCTCCTCTTTCTTTCCCTGAGGCTGGGGATGGAACCCCCGGCCCTGCTGACTAGTGCTCTACCACTGAGCCACATGCCAGCCTCTCTTCCTCCCCTTAGGAGACCAGGTGCCACTGGGTCAGGCCTCACCCCTGTGGCCTCACTGGACGTAAGGGCCTGCCAGCGTCCGTCCGTCCGTCCGTCCCACTTCCCAACACCACAGTTGCATTAAGTTTGGGCCCTCCTGAGACCTCCCAGTGGGGACTGCATTTCCGCATGCGTTTGGGGGAGGATCAAGCTTGCGCTCCAGTGCGGACATCAGCTTCGGCCTGAGGACTTCCGGGTAGCCGTTGTGCTG